CAACCCACAGAAGCACCTCAGCAACCCACCGAAGTGCACCCCCCACAAGAGCCTGCACCCTCAAATTGATTGACCAGTTTCTGTTGTATCTCTAATACTAAAAGTATAACACAAATACTACAAATGAATTAAATAGAATTTTCACAGTCATTGAAAGTACACAATGCCAAGCCAAACAACAGCTTAGACTTTAACATTAAGTTCGTTCCACTTACTTCGATGTCTATACATGTACCGAAGGAACTTCTCGATGGTCGGTTGTTTCTTCATAAGGCTGAGGGGCGTTTTCAACTTCTGCTGCAAGTCGTTCTCATTGACCGCAGTGAAGTCGTACTTCTCCAAGTAGTGGAAGATGGTGTCGCCGATATTAAAGAGTGCATAGAACCCATCGAGTAAGATCACGTCAAACAGTTTCAGAGCAAAATCGAAAGGCAACGCATGGATGAACCAGAGATAATGCCACTCGAAGATGAAGAAAGGGAGTCGCGAGAAGTCGAACCCGAGATCCTTGAACTTTTTATACAGTTTCGGATGACGCATTTCGATCGTTTGTTTCGTGACCAACCAACACGAGTTGACCAACTTGAAATCGCTAAACATCTCTTTGAGTCGATACTTCTTCCCCATCAATTGTAAAGTCCCTCCATATGATTCGACAGAGTCTAAGAATAGAGTAAGCATCGATGGAGCACAAGTCATCCCTTGAGTAAACTCAAATTGCTTTTCCTTCGTGGCAATAGCGTGGAAGATTTGAAACAACATCTTCTGTCCACCAGCAAAGCTTTCCTTGAAATTATAATGTTGTTGAAAGGTACGTATCACATCGAGATGGAGTTGTTTGTCAATCCCATTCTTCGGGCTTTTGTTAAGGCTTTCAAATTCCTTTTTCAGGTCGCCCATGTCGATGGCGGGAAACAACACAATCCGCCAAACGTCCCGTCGTACTTCGTCGGGAAGGCCTTTATAGACTCTTGGGTATAACTTATCTGGGACAAGTCCTTTACCCAACGAAGAAAGCATATGTTTCCATTTTTTAATGCGTTCGGTGTTTGTTTTCATTTGTTGAGAAGTCAAATTTGGCACTTCGAAAAAGGAGTTTTCTTGTTGGTTAACAAAGCCGTATCTATTAGCAGTGCTTGGCATTTGTATTTGTGGGGTGTTGTCATAGTCATAACACAACTTGACGTCCTCGAAGTTATCGATGTCTAAGATCAGTTTGACCATTAATGGGAGTTTCAAGTGGAGGGCATATTCCAGTGGTAACTTCCCATCAATGTCACGAGTTTGTGTCAATAGTCTTGGTTGCATCATTCTAAATATATCAACACTTTCTTTCCTTCCCATTAGCAAATGATGAAGGCAATTTCTATTTTTATGATCCCCTAGATATAAGTCCATTTGAATTAAGTTAATTAATTATTAATTCTTCTATTATTATGTGCTTTGGTTGAAGATAACAAACGGTCGAGAACATTAACTTTGTTCGTGTTTAAAAGCATTTTGGCCATCGGATAGTTACCACTGCCACACGCAAACATAAAGAGATTCACACCAGTGGGGGATGTCACTTTTATATCTCCGCCACCTTCTATGTACGCACGCATGCCAGTCATGTTCGAGGACGCAACCGTCTCAAATACCACATTGCCAATCACGGACCGCCGAGTTGATGATAGTGAGGTTTGTGGCCTACCATTCGTATCCATAAAACATCTATATTTGTAGTTCTCCGTTTGTTCTTATTTTTCTGTTTTACTTCTTTTGGATTTGACTTTTGACTTTTTGATGTAGTCGGATCCCCCAAAACGCCTGGAATTTTGCGCCATTCCCTTCTTTTTTTTCAAATCAACTCTTGGTGCATATCGGTATTTTTTTTCAGCGTGTTTGGATGGATCATTAGGGGGTGTCGATCCTAGAAATGGGGATCTTGGGGAACATCCCCGGTTTTGGGCATTATCGATGTCTATTTATACAAAACTTGTTTATTTTTGGAAACAACTCCATTGGCCCATTAAACGACAAAAGTTTTTCAAGGTTTTCGCCATATTTTCGGCATTTATAGTAATTTGGTGAAGACGTGTTGGTTTATGAAATGTCCCGATTGATTACATATTAAACAACGAGCATTTTAAATATATCCGGTTATAGTTAAAATGGAGGTCCTTTCCGCAAAAAAGTAGTCCAATGCAAAAGCTACGGATTTCTTTTTTTTATCTTTTTTATTAAACATTGTTTGTGTCTGTTTACTTTTTCTCGACAAAAAAGGAAGAAAAATACCAGTTTCAATCGGATAATGATAAACCGCACTTATTCTTCAACTTTTTTGTATCTCATTTTTCTCGTTTACTATAACCATTTTTTTGCTATAGTTGGTTTTTCATAAAAAAAATAATGAAAAAAAATTGTATCTTTAACTCGATTTATTTGGAATTAAAAATGTCTTTTTGAGACAAGTATTTAAAGTATGGTATTTATATAGTATACTATTGATTATATCCGGTATGAGATGAAATGAATTTTTGAGGCTTCACACTATATCAAGTGTGGTATTTAATCAATCCAACTATATAACCAAATCATATAAAAAAACACGTTAAGATAAAATCAACTATAAATTATGGTTTAGTTATTAGAACTTTTTGGTCGAATAAAAAAGAAAATAATTACCAGCAACATTCACCCAAAATCCTTTGACATAATATTTTACACAACTTCTTTTATTTAACCACATTGGTTGATATTTAGTGGTAAATTCTGTAACTGTTGTGTGTATGTTTACTTTCAATTACACTTCTTTTTGTTATACAAAACAGTAAATGTAAAATTTTAAATTGTTTGATAAAAAATTGTTTTCTTGTTTGTGAAGAATTTTATAACTTTTAAAAATTATAAACCACCAAATTCAATAATAATCAATTAAAACACAAATAATTACTTATTAGTATTATTATTATTTTTTTTCTTATTTATTTACTAAATTTTGAGAATCAATTAATATATTATTTCTAATTTGTTATTTATTTGAAATGATATTATTTTTACTATAAAAATATAAATAATATAAAAAAACACATTTATTTTGTTGTTCGACTACTTTTAATTGTTAATTTGTTCTTTAACACATTATTTTACAATTGAAATATTTTTGTGCAAGACTACCGACGGACCACACTTTTCATACTGTTGTCGTATGACACTCATTTCTCTAAATATGCTGAGCGAAGCAATTTTCGTCCTACCAATCCATTTACTGTACTTTCTCTCAGAAAGTGGATGAATTCTTACTTTTTGTTTTGGCCACCAAAGTGAAAACTTTAGTAATGCCAAAATATGTAGATGGCTCTCTTCTACAATATCTCATGACACATAACATATTTTTTTGATTTTTCGAACTGTTTCACAATCTTTTCTTGTTGTGAATGAATGAACCTTCCGAGACAACAACTCTTTACGTGTTTATGTCACTTCATTTACAGCAATTGAACTTCTGTACTCGTGTTGAGTACTCTCATACCCCCATTAACCAAAGTGATTCAAAATGAAGATTCCCCATTCTCAACAACAAGGCCGACACTTCGTCCAATGGAGTAAACAGACAACAATATAGGACGTTCAAATGGAACGATGGAACTTCAAATTTTTCAAATGCCAATTGAGACATCTTTTCTCGCACTAAATATGGAAATTCAAAGTCTTCTGTTAACGGTAGTGGATGATCTTTTGGGTTTACACCGAGGTCGTTTTTAAAAGCGTGAGCCCAAACGCTTTCTAGAGCACTCCAATTTTTGACCTTCCTCTGTTCTATTGGACAAACAATTTTAAGCACCCCATCTTATTTATAACCGTATCCCCAACATATACTTCTTGTGTATTCTGACTACATTTTTGACTTCTGAATTGTTGGGCACCTCCAATATTAAAAAACAGCTTTCAAGACATCGCCTCCGGCTGTTCCAGTATTAATTGAGAATGTTCTATTATCAAGAATATAACGTAGTTCCTTTCGTCGTTCATTTTAATATTTTCAATTCGTTGTTATAGAACTCAAAAAAAAATAAAATAGATAAGGTGGTGTGGGATATGAACTCACATCACACACCATCACGACTAATTAATGAATGGGTACGCTTGGAGTTCAGGTGCTACTCTTGTTGGTGCTTGAATGCTATACAGTCCATTCACTTTCATTGTTTCTTTTCTCTGTGGAGGCGCGCTCTCTGGCAATTTTGGTGGGGCTATTCCTTCAATTTTAACGTCTGAAGAGTCGTCTTCAAGGGTCTTTTTGTTTTTAGCGTTGAGTGCGCATTGGTCGCAGACTCTTTGTGGTTTTGGTGAGAGATGTGGGATAATGATCTTCTGTTTTGTGCAGTTAGAACAGAGCACTCTTCCACAATTTCTGCAATGATGTCTTCTATTAATGAATGTGAATTTCGAGTGGCAGTTCATACAATCCAACACGTTATCATCCGGAACCCAAATTGGTGCTGTCGTCTCGTCGTCTTCCACGTCTTCAAACTCGTACTTCTTCTCTCCTGTAAACATGAAATTGAGGTCGATGACCCATGCCTTTTTATCTTCCAAGTCTTTAGCATACACCACGGCACTTTTTTGTGGCGTTTTTATTTGGAATCCATTCTTCCCGTTATCACTATCTTCAACATCTTTCACGGAGTTCAGCCCCATCTTCTGGTGGAATATGATTTTCTTTCCTTCTTGTTCGCCGTATATAATCGTTGCATCGTTGAATAAAAAGAAGTATCTTTCTTTCTGTGCTTTTCGACATTGTTTCAACAACACTCCTTCACGAACCAAATTGCGGGGCGTATTCAGCAGCTCGTCTTTCACCTCTGGTGGCATATCAGTAAACTTTTTCATAAAGTCTCTCATAATTCTTTTATTGTTTTCAACAGCAATGACCGAGTTAACTTCTTTAGCATAAGAATCAAGGTATCTTCTCACTTGTTCTGCTATAGCTGCGTCCGGGTGTTCCTTATCGGTGTTTTTGATATATTCCTTCATGAGTAATATATATCTCGGAATACGTTGTACGGGGAAGATCAAGAACGACATGATATCGCCGTTATTACTTCTTGGGTCTTCTTTTTGCGCCTCACAGAACTCCTCAAACTTCTTTCTTTTTTGCGTCAGCTTATCAAACAGTGCAGATGCCTTATCATAATTTTGTATGTACTTCCCAAACCTTTCAAAGATATTTTTCTTCCTGTTATTCCTTCATTCCCATGTTCACAAAAACACAAGAAAACAAACGTTTAACAAAAAGACATCGCAAATGTTATCATTCATCGAAAAACTCTTCAGTCTTTCCTGCAATTGTGTCGAAAGTGAACTCGCTCCTTCACTCAAATCTTTAATATTCCCAAACAAGACCTTCCCTTCTTCCGGCGTGATGATGCCATTCGTTGAAAATGGATTAACGTACAAATCTATCACTGTCTGGAGTGCTTTCAAATACGATTCTTCCGTTGACACTATTTCGTTGACCACATAAAGTCTTTTACTTGACATCTTCTTTTCGATTTCAAGTTCATGCCGTTCTTTGTTTTCTATTTTGTCAAAACTAAAAATAACAAAAAGTCACTCAGATAAGTACTTGTGTTGGTGTAGAGTCACTTTTCTCGGTCTTCTCGACACTACTGTTCATCGGCCCACAAACTGGCGATTGTCCCCTGATAATTTTAACAAATCGTATTGCCTCAGCCAAGCTTACTTTTTTGATACTCAGATGTAAAGAAGAATAGATGCGTTTTACATTTTCTGGAACGTTTGAAGGAATAGAGTATCCTACACTTTTCGAAACTTGGAGAGTCGGTTTTATTGCTTGTACATAGCCACTGAATGATGCAGATCGTTTGAGTCCTGCTGTGGCCGTTTTAACTTTATCCTGACCACCCATATAACCCGAAAGCCAATTTGTCGTTAATTGTTTTGTCTCCGAATATTTCAGCATATCCTCAATTTGCTTTTTTGTTTGTTCAGACACCTTTAACTTTCCTTTAAAGCCGCCCACATGTTTCGCTGGTTCATCGTTAGTTATAGGAAGTTCTTCTCCCGGGGTTTCCAAAAGTGCCAAAATTTTGTCGGTAGATGTCATGGAGTTTCTTTTCTGTGCTTCCACGTTAGCTTCATAAGCATCAATGTTACTCAAGATTGCACTTTCTGGGTCCTCAACATTATCTTTCACTAACTTTTGAAAATCCTGAGCTTGCAACGGATCGACAATACTCTTTCCTTTTTCAGCCATCTCGGCTTTTAACTTTTTTATTTGCGACTCCTTCTCTTCACACACCTTTTTATGTGCATCGATTTCTTCTTTTGGGTTTGATTGATTCGTAAGTATTGATGAAGGTACAACCATCTCTTTCGCTTCATTGATTTGTTTGTCCAGTTGTGAAAGTTCTGCATTTCGTTGCGCGTATATCTTTTCATACCCGTCAATGACATCATCGTATCTTTGAAACTCTTCATTGTATTTTTGTGCAGCTCTTTTAATATTCCCAGCCTGTTGTTTTAATGTATTTCTGAATTTCAAATTTTCGGTCAGCGCTTCTTCGTATTCGCGATCAGCTATTGAGGCCAATATCGTTTTTTTAGCAGCTTCATTCTCCTCTTTCAGTTGTGCAAGCGTTTTTTCTTTTGTTGCGAACTTTTCTTTGGTTTCGGTGAGTCGTTTGTCCACGTCGATGGCTTGATTTTGCGCTTCTTTGATTCGGTCATCTTTCTTTGAATTTGCCATTTTCACCCGTTCGAGTTCCTTTTTTGTCTTTTCCTTTTGAAGGGAAAGAGTGACAATCTGATTCATGACTCCAAGGTAATCCATTCGCGATTGTTCCAACCTCGTTGCCGATTGTTTCACGCCAGGAATTAAACGGTTGTATTCGTTTATCTTTTCATTTTGTTTGTCTAGGTCTTTTTCAAGTCCAACATTTTGGTTGTACGCGTCCACAATTTCTTGATGCTTCTTGGCAACACCCGATTCCATCCTCTTCGTTTTGCGCTTGTAACTTTCTAATCGTTTTGTAAAAACAGCAAGTTCCGCTTGGTCCCATGACCTGTAATTGTCTTTGTGTATTGATCCAAGATAATTTTGAATCAAAGCATCAAGCTTGTCGATTTGCGCAAAGTTATTCTCGATGTCTCCAATGGTCTGTAGTATCGACTTCTCTATGTCGCTCATTCTCTCTGCTGTTTCTTAGTTCAGTTCCTTTATTCTGACTTTTTTCTCTTTTTATCTCATAATCAGTTTCTCATTTTCAGAAATTTTCATTTCATTTTTACAATTTTTATAATATAATTCTTATTTAATTAATTAGAAATTCTATCTTTTTATATAGTTCTTTAATTGTTTAAATATAATACATTTTTGGTTTTCATTTAGGTTTGGACTTTTGTTATTATCAACAAAAAACATTTTTTTAGTTTAGTAATATGCTTCTCAATTTTTTGGATTTTTGTGGAAAAACAAATACACACCAAATTGTATTTTTAGAAGATTTTAATTTTGAAATTTTGATTTTTTTCTCTTTTTCGAAATTTTTGGTTGATTTTTTTTTGGGGGGATTTCATCTGAATTTGTAAGTAAAATGTCGCACACCTGTTGCATCGCTGGGTGCACAAATGATGCCGAATTCCCGCTCCGCAAGATTCAAGGGACGGTCAACATCAAAAAGGAGTTAATAAACACACTTCCCAGAGAGTGGAAAATTTGCAAACCAGATTTCATCCGTCTTCTTAAAACAATGGAGTGCTGTATCGACTTGTGTGACAAGACTCCGACATTTTACGAAATGCCCGAGTCAAAACTCAACTTGGTCTCCCTTAAGTCCGAGTGCTCACACCATCAACTCTGCCTTTTCCACGCAAATAAATACTGCGAACAGTTCAATCGTTTGTTTTAACTATTATTTATAATTTGGTGGATGATTTGAATACTATATCTGGTTAACTTTTTTTATTATTATATTACTATTTTTTATGGTTTCTTTATGTAAAAACAAAACTATATGTGAATAACACTTTTAAATAACATTTTTGACTCACACTTAGAACAACCAAACTCACGGCCACCCGTCGCCGCACAACCTCCCGTGGAAAAAAGACTTGCGGACGATGAAGACACCGTGACTGAGTCGAATCAACAAAACAATAGTGACACCGACACTTCAACAGAAACACGAGAAGAAGTTATCCCACAACCAACTACTGCTCCTTTTACAACAATTCCGAGTGTAGCCGTGCATGTACCAGAACCAATAAAAGAAGAGAAGCCTGCCGAGCCTAAAAAGGTAGAACCGAAAAAGAGAGGGCTGATCATAGAAGATGGGTCTGACGAAGTTCAATTGACTAAAAAGAAGGTTGAACCAACGAAAGAACACGCCCCACAACGACATATGGACGAAGAAATACGAAAGAATGAAAAAACGGAACAAAAGGTCGAGGAGCAAATCAAGGAAGAGCACCACTGCTGTGTTGATAACTGCAACTCACTTGTCCAACACGAAATTCCGATATTACAACCACTTCACGTCTATGTATGTCAGGGACATCTCAGTGATATTGTAAAGCTTTGGAGAATCTCACTTATGTCACACCAAATTGTTCTCAACGAAGAGTGTTTGCAACTGGTCAGGGTTATTGATAACCAAATGAATCCGTTTTGGAAGTATGAGAACCCGGGTCAAAACGATGTGAAGTGCGCTTTGTGTTGTGGGTATTACAACAAAGAAGAGACATACAACTGCTCATTCTGCCCATTTACCTTCTGTGTCGAGTGCTATAAACACTTGTGTTTAACATTGGGTACTCCACAACAATTCATTTCGAACAAGGCGAGGTGGAAGTGTTTTGTCTGTTCTTGTTGCGAGCAGGACAAGATGGAACGTAACAATTTCATCAAACAACAACTCAAAACGTTGCTCAGTGTTGTCGATGTCAGGTTGAAAGATGGGTGCGTCATTGGGAAATCACAAGAGGAGCTCAAAGAGTTTGTAGACAGTCTTCATCAGTAATACAGTTAGTAAATCGAATGTGCTTTTGTTGTTTATTTATAACTTTAATACTCTTTACTAAAAATTAGTAATAGAGTTCTAATTGAGTATAAAAAGTTTGTATTAATTTAAATTAATGAAAAACCATAATTTTTTCTTCATCAAGAAAGCTATGACAAATTATAATATATAGTTAGTTTTTATTATTATTTATGGTCACAAAATTTGTGTCACATATAGTATTCAACTAAATAATTAAATATAAAAAATGTCTTGAACACCAAACCAAGCAAAAGAAGTCAAATTAGTTGAATTGTCCTCCATCGGGAACAGACGATTTGTTGTTCTTCTTACCACAACGCATGACGACATCAACAAGCATTAACTGACAAGCAAGAACCGTCGCAAGTTGTATCATCTGTTTCTTAACCCTAACCCCATCCCAAACGTCTTGAACGTCTTTGAAGCCACCAGTGACGATATCAACACCACCGACTTTGCCTTCATTAATAGCATCTTCTAATTCATATAATCTCTCAGTCACATCATACCCGCTGTTCTCAATTAATGTCTTTGGAATGATTAACATGGAATTCGCAAGTACTTCTACTCCCAATTTTGCTTTGCCTTTCACCGTCTTGGCAAAGTTAGTCAACTCCTTCCAACACTGCAACTCAAAACAACCAGCACCTAAGACCACGCCACCATCTTCCATCGCGTTTTTGCATGCTCTCAACCCATCACGAACAGTGTCCTTCAGTTGTTCGATAATTTGGTCGTCAGAACCACGGATCAATATGGTGCATGACTTCGGATGTTCGCACTCCTCAACAAAAGTGTATTTCTCCTCGCCAACTACACTCTCAAAGACGTGTCCAGCACGTCCAAGGGATTCCAATGGAATTTCTCCTTCAAACGAATTCAAAGCCACTCCTCCACACGCAAGAGTCAATCGCTCCATATTTCTTCTTTTGGCACGACGAAGTGCCATCACTTGCGCAGCGGCCAATTTGTCAAGACTTGGTTGATCAATACCTTTCTGGTTCACTACTAAGAGTCCAACATCCTTTCCATATTTCTCAACAAGTCTTCTCTTCAAGTCGACAACTTTAGCGACTTGGTCGTCGGCATATTTGCGCTCATTCTTAACCATTGCATTGCGTTGGTTGACATCCGAGTAAAAGACGGAGCTGTTCACTTCACTTTTCTCGTATTCCATAGACACATTACAAGTCAAGACAAAGACGTTGTGGATGTCATGTGGCATACCGGGGTGACGAGTCCCGTGGTCCATCACCAAACCCTTGATCAATTCAGTGTTTGTTGCAAATTTGTGTTTCATGGTTTGGATCTCCACCATGAACAAATCGATTGTGTTCTCTATCTTTATTACTTTGACAGCATCAACAATCATCGTCGCCAACTCTTCAGTAAATTCAGTCGTCATCTTAGTGCCAATAACACTCTTCACAACACTCTCTAACACTTTTTGCTCGGTGGCATCGATTTTCTTGGTCACTTGTGGGATATAGTCGAACAAGTGTTGTCTCCCCAACTCAATACCTTCAACCAATAACCTCGAATGGATTCCTTCACTCAAATAAGGCTCACATTGCTTCATAAGTTCACCACAGAGTAATACTGTTGATGTGGTACCATCGCCAACTATATCATCCTGTGATGTTGCTGCGTTTGCTATCAAACTAGCTGTTGGGTGGTTGATGTGCATCTCTTTCAACAAGACTCTCCCGTCCTTTGTCAGTTTGATCGATCCAGCGCCGTCGACTAACATTTTTAACGTCCCTTTGGGACCCAAGTTGGTCTTCAAAATCGACGCCAACGAGCGTGCGGCGTGGATGTTCATCATCAGCGATTGGTCACGGCGACTCGCCTCGCTGTTTTGGTTGAGAATCTTCAGAGCGCTCATCCGTGTGATTTAAAAGTTCACTCGACGTTTAGTGTACTTTTTATAGTACATCACTAGTTTCACAAAACCATTTCTTAATGCCCTTATTTTATAATTCTTTTATCATAAATTTTACTTTCAACTGTTTCTTCCCAAAAGTGTCTTAACAATAGTATAATTTATTATAATTGAATAAAAAAAAGAGTATTAGTGTAAAGACATATAACCCCCAATCAGATGAAAAACATTTTCAAAAACATTAAAATCCAGACGGGAACGAATGGGCAACCCTAAAAAATAACTAAGAAAGTGAAGTTCTCGGGTGATGGGAAGGTGCCTTAGAAATCACAGTGTGGTGTACAAAACACCAAAGGTGCCATTCGACAGAACTAGATTCGATGCCGAGTTGAAATTAGCCGGACAGTTTGGGTTGAAATGCAAGAGAGAGATTCAACGTGTCCACTTTATGTTGGGCCACATGAGAACTATTGCCAAGGTGATGTTAATGAAATCCGCCACTGACCCAAAAAGAATCTTGGAAGGTAACGCTTTACTCCGAAGACTTCACAATCTCGGGATCTTACCAAAGGACCAAACCAAGCTTGAGTTCGTCTTGGCTCTTAAAGAAGAGAACTTACTTGAGAGAAGACTTCAGACTATTGTCTTCAGAAAGGGCTTTGCTAAATCAATCCACCACGCCAGAGTTTTGATTCGTTCTAAGTTGATCTCCGTCGGTAAACAAATCGTCGATGTCCCATCCTTCATGGTCAGAGTATCATCCGAACCACTCGTACAACTCGCTCCTAACACTCCTCTTACCAACCCAGAGAAGCTTGGAAGAAGAAAAAGAAAAGCAAGAAAGGACGCTAAAGGTCAATAAGTGAATCGTTGTGCTACGTTTCTATTTCGTTTAACCCTTTCTTATTTAACTTAGTAACTATTCTATTATTATTTAATTATTTTCTTTTTACTATTCTATTATTTATTTAATTATTAAATTGAATTCTAAAACAATAGGGTCTCAACGGTCAATTAATCATCAGATTTATCATCAGCTTTTGGCAGTGTTTTCACACTTTGAGCCTCATTGAAGGTTTCCAATGTCGCCTTCCCACTCAGCACTGCGTCGATTTTTGAATAGTGGACTTCGTTTTGGAAGTATTGAGCAAATGGGTGGTTCTCCTTTTCATAGTTAGTGATATCTGTCCAAATGGACTTCTCTTTAAACTCTTCACACTTCTTAATGGTCTCTTCTGAGTTGATAATCGGCAAATTTTGTGTTTGTATGTTGTTTTGAATGTCATTGTTGTAAACGTCGAAATTGCACCTTTCAAGGAACAGTCCGTATGGTGGTGCTGTGGGGACTAAGCTTCTCCATTTGACTAAAGTGAATGAGGTCTCCATAATAGAGTCAACCATCTCTTTAGAGTAACGCATGTTTGTCAACATCAGTGCAAACCCAACCATCTTTCTGATTTGGTATATCATAAAGCTTTGTCCTTTCAATGCCACAACAACTAAGTCCAATCCGTTTCTCTGAACCAAAGTTGCTTCAATAGAAAGGATATTTCGAATGTTGGACTGACTCTCAGGTGTGGTTTCTTTTGTATTGTAAGTGTAATTCTGGAAGTTATGTGAGCGTATATAGTGTCCAATTACAAAATTGAAATACTGAATGTCTTCTTCTGTTGCTTTGTAATTCAAGTCGATGTTGAGGTCATTTGGATGGAGCTGTTGTAACGCGTAGGAAGGGAAAACATACTCGTAATTTCTGTTATCAACTCGAGTATGTGCGTCAAACAATCTACGCACTCGAACACAGTCCATCACGCGAATAGTCTCGGGTAAGTGCGAATTGATTCGCTCAATAAAGTTGCCATCAGTCCCCATTTTCAGACTGAATATATTGTTTGCCGCAGAAACACCTTTGTCGGTACGAGCGCAACGGCTCCACGAGACTTTTTTAAAGTCATGTTTGTTGTCCTCGGAAATGCATCCCGCTAAATAGATGGCATTTTCAACGTCACCTTCAATTGTCTTTTCTCCATTTTTTAAGTACATTGAACCTTGATACCCACGACCAACATATGAGACTATAAGAGCAACCTTTGTTTTTTTCACTTTTTGATGTTTAGTTGCCTTTTCGACGTCTTCTTTTGTTGTTTTTTTGAGGTCTTCTTTGGAGATTGATTTTACGTCAGTGATGTCTGTTCGTTTTGATGGAAGTGTGTTTGGTGCCGTGGTTCTTTTCATTTTGTTTGCAATTTCAATATTTAGGTTTTCTTTTTTTCGAAAAACGTTATTATCACAATAAAACTAATCTTTTGTTATTCGTTCATTTAACCTCGCACCACTTTCCATATCAAAAGAAATTCTTGTCAAAACATTGTTATATTGTTTTATTTCTCTTCTTGAACAATTCTAAAGGTTGTATTAAAATGTATTATTATTATTATTAAACAAACAAACTATTAAATATAATAAACGTTACTAATATATTTAATACAAAAATGGTAATTAAGTTTTATTTTTGGTATCATTAAAACACAATTAAAAAAGACTAATTATAGTCTTTTTTTTATCTCCCAAAACTTTTAATTCTTTCTAAAAAATAGGGTCTTTTCATCCGAAAAAATACAGTAATCATTAATTCAAATTCGTTTTTGGGACAATTTATTGGAACCAAATATCCCGTTTATTCGATGCTTTTTCTTCTCTTTTCTAAACAACAAAATTAACCAGTTGCAAACTTAAACTTGTATTCCCAGAATCCGTTACTAATAGTATAAAAGTACTATTTCGAACAAGTGACAAAACAATTAAATCCACAAAAACACAAAAAGCCTCAAAAAAGGCATTTTCTATAATAAGACAATTTTTATAAAAAATAATATTTTTAATCAAAATATATAGTAAAAATAAAGGAGAGTAAATATACCGAAAAGGCTTAGTAAGGAGCTTAATTACACGAATTGATAGAGTAAAACTGTTAAATCACAAATAGTGAATTTCATATGGCGTTCAACTTATTGAAGAAAAAGAAGAAGCAAGATTTTACAGTGAAAGTACTTATGGTAGTGGATTTAGTTGGGTTTGATGGGAAGGAGGTAGTACTGAGGTGGCGTCGTGGGAAGAAAGAAGGTAACAAAGGGAAGTTTTCACCCTTTCGAATAACTGGTGCGCGTACGGAAGTCACAAATGTGACACTTAATTTACATTGCACTCTCTTTGAAAAATCGAAAGCGGGTTTCTATGAAGAGAAATTGGTTGAGTTTATATTGGAAACGAAAGAGAAGAAAAGGATATGTGCGGGTATAATTGATTTAGCGCAATTCGCTGACTTGGCTGGGAAGACTGAAGAGACTCTAACGGAGCTCCGAACGAAGCAGAAAGTGATGAAAGGGAAATTAATGATATCGATATCAAGTGTGCCTGGCGAGTTCACTGGTGAGTCCGAGAACACCGAAGTGTTAATGTTGAGTAGTGAAGATACATCACTTGGCAACGTCGACCCCATCCATGGGAGACTTATAATGAAGATGCGAGAGAAAGAGCGTGAGGATCATGAAGAAGAGGAGCTCCGCAAGAAACAAATTCGAGATAGAGATGAGGCGATGAAGGCTGAGCGACTTCCTGAAGTTATCAACAAGTCTGAGGAAGACATGAAAGAAGAAGAGAACGTTGAAGAACAAGAGGAAGAGCATGAAGTAGTGAAAGAAGAAAAAGAAGAGGCGCCCCCTGAGCCACCGAAGATCAGAGATATTGATGATGCCAAACAAGCATTTTCAGAGGGGAGTGTTACCATAGAAGGAATGATTCTGATGTTAATGAAATATCAAGAGGAAGATGCTATTGAGTATGTTATAGGCAAATGGGTTGAAGAAGTCACAAAAGAAATTACTCCGGTGATTGAGTCTTGTCTGTTCAGTGAGAGGAATGTGTTCCAACAATACACAAATGATATTGAAGAAAGTAAAGCATTGACCGTCTTACAATTGGTGAAGAAAGATAAGACGATGTTGGAGAATAAAGGAATTAAAGAGGAAATAGTCAAGAAAGCAATCAAACAAGAATTCCACTTTTTGGGGTTCTATGTTGTGGATAACTTATTCAACACCCCCGATGCTATCTGCTGTGTTAAAGGATTCCAATTCAAATTTTTCATGTCATACATCGATTTGGATTTGACAAAGAAGGACTTGAAGGATCTGAAAGCCCTCTGCGGACACTTTGAGGTCATCACTGATGTGGCAAACTTGTTTATGTTACACCACTCAATCAAACTCAGTGAACTCGAAAACACATTCCCTTTACTTTCTATCAACATCATCTACCAATTGCTCAGAAACTTTAAGGTGGACGAAATGGATAACGTGCCTATCGACCAAAAATTACTCGAGGATATCCAGAACAAATGTACAAACGATCCACTGACTACTCGATTCACATCTGTTGCTTAATTTCTTCTCATTTTTGTTGTTAGTTTATTTACTTTAATTATCTAATACTTGGACTCTAATTTCAGTATAGTACTCTCCATGGTTTTATTTACTTTTAGAATAGATGCCATTTCACTAGTTTATAGTATAAACAATTTAATAATTACGATATAGAAAAATGTATAGAAATAGAAGTATAGTTGAAATTAGTAAATTAAAACAAGAGAATTAAGAGTGTTACAAAGAACACAGAGATGTAAGGAGAAGAACACGTCTTTCGAAGATAAAAATTGTAGTCTGCTTTAGTAAAAGCGTCTTTGTCTGGGCAACTTCCTTCAGAAACACAGAAGAGGGACTGATTTGTCTTGTCGATGTCTTGAAGGAGTCTGTCGTATTTACAAAAATTGAGTTTAGTGGGCACTCTCCAGTCCAAGTTGAATGCGGAGATGCTCTTTGCTATCTTTTCTCTTTCATCGACCGTGAAGTCTGAGATCTTAGAACAGTGATGACCCAGATAATCATCTAAGACATACTTTCTAAGTGGGTCGATGGTTGGTGTTGGGTAGTAAGTAGCGTCCCCCGGCACGATATTTGGAGATGTAGAAAACGCAGCGGAGAAGATCCAAGCCAGTCGAAGAGGAAAGAGTGGATCTTCCGACGAGAAGTCGATGTAATGAGGCTTTGCGATGCCCCAGGCGTTTTCTGAAAATACGCCATATTGCACGCCACTTGTTCGAACAAAAGGGAAATTAGTATGAACGGGAAGTGCCTCTATTCGGTGTTTAAGAGACTTAATAAATCGATCCATTGTGCCGACAGTAGTGTTGGCATTGCCACTGTAATCAACGTAATGCCCATCAAACTCACACGCAAATTCTTTGAGCCAATCACTTCTCCCAGTGTTGTCTTCGGACGCATCGAAGGTGTGGAAGTAAAAAGCGTTATACCTCTGCCTCACTCGTTCCCGTAATAAGATGATTTTGTTTCGTAACGTTTTCTTTGATTGATAGACTTTCATGTCAGTTATCATAAGACAGTGGAAATCATTTCCTTTTAAATCGTTGCGGATCAAATAGTCCCTCACAACTTCAAATGGCTCGGATGGCTTTGTCCCCCCATAAGGTTCCATTTTACACACATCTTCCGAGAGTCGATCGATAGATGAGTGCGTGATGTCCACAAACCCTTGCATCATCCTTGCTTCATTATTAAAGATGACGACGCGGGAGTTCTGAAATGAAGAAAAGGTGTTGAGGAGATGGACTAACCCCAACTTCTTGGAATCAAATTGTCTGTTAGAGTTGGATATATCGAAGAGAATGTAAAGAGTCGTCCTGCCATATCCAACGGACCTGATCGATTCAAAATCTTGTGGGTCATAATACGAGAGTGTTTGGTACCCCGGATAAAACACGGCCGCATTTTTGTGATGTACGGCGACGTAAAATGGATTTGGCGTTACATACAAAAACCTGGTTGGAGTGATGTACGACCAACAAATATCGTCATTGTCAAGTTCGTTTGTTTTCTTCGAGTAATGAACCATCGGTGTTTTGTAAGTCAAAACACTACATGACCTTCCACAGAAGTGAGGGTGTTCCGTTGGATATGGTTTGTTTAAGTAATATAACTGTTGAAGTGTAGACTGTTCGTACACTCCGTGAATGTCATAGAAGCACCCAGACGAACATGACGTTCTCGTTGAGTCTCGTTTCTATTGTGTCATTGATTACCACTCAAAACTGTTTTACAACAAACATTGTAAGCGTCAACGTATTGGTTATATATTGTCGTTAACGCGTCGTATTGCGCGTTAGTGAACAGAATCAACACAAACAGGTGAATCATGCGAATGGATGAATCGAGTTCTTTATTTTATTAATATTATTAATTACTAATTTAATTATAATAAAACAATAATAAAGTGCATATTATAAATATATAGTAAAATACCATTTTATAATCTTTTATCACTTGATACTCAAAATAGATGAATTGATAAAATGTTATATATAACATTAATTGATGGACTACAGGGTTTCTTAAAAAGACTGGAAAATACATAACATACAATGACTGAATTAGCGAAGGTAGTACAACTCCGCAACACGCCGGAGATGGGCGAGTTCATGGACCAAATAGTTGCGGACATAACAACACCCGATACTATGAGTAACGACGAGTTTATTAAGCGTCTGCGCATAACTACCGAAGACACGACTCAAGTGAGTCAAGTTGATAATGACTACGAGAGAGAGTTGGTGTTCTACAGACAAGCACTGACCTCTGTCGTACAAGCGCGTCAGATCTTTAACGAAATGAAATACCCATACAAACGCCCAGCCGATTATTTTGCGGAGATGTTCAAGGACGATTCCCACATGGACAAGATCCGTCCCGAGTTGATGAAGATTCAAAAGAAGATCGATGCTGTCGAACAACGTAAAAAGAATTTGATTGTCCAAAAAGAAGAGAACAACGCCAAGCGAGAGAAGCGTAAACAAGAAACTATTCGAAAGGTGAAGGCAAAAAAGGACGAGCGAAAGAAGCGATTCAGAGACAAAGCCTATTCACAAATGGGCCGCAGCGACGGAAGTAGTAAATTGAACGACCACAAGTCGGGAAAATCTAAAGGTGTCTTTTCAAAGCGCGTGAATAAAGGCGGGAAGAGTAGTGGGCCCAAAGGAGGGAAAGGAAAGCCCATGGGTGGCAAACGAGGAGGTAAAAGATGATTGAACTGATTTTTTAGAAGACCAAGCATTATAGTATATTAATAGTAAAAAGAATAGTATATGATTGTTATAATAATATTCTAATAGATGAAAGAAATAAGTAGTTTAACGTTATTAACTGTAAATACGGCAATGATTTTCCATAAAAACTTGAAGAAAAAAAAATGAAGAAACGAAATATTTAACACCACAAAAGGATGGCTGAGGAACAACAAATAACTCCAAATGATCCATTTCAACTCATCTCAATTTGCATTGAACGACTCTTGGAATTGGCTGTCCCATCGCCGGAAGATCTGTTTCATCACTACACGTTTTGTTTGGGCGGAGTTGAAAGTGTCGATGTGGAGAAAGAGAACAATATTAAGAAGTTGAGAGATATTTTAATGTCTTTGTTGAGGAACACGACTCCACTCTTCCCGGAAATATATAACTATAACGCTTTTCTTGTGATGAAAAATACGGTAGTGACGCAGAAACATCAGTTAAGAGCTTTACTCTATTTTCTCCAAATTGAACGGAGAAACGCTATTCTCAATCTTTTTGAATTTGTCCATTTAAGTCATCTGGCGGTCGAAGAAATGTCAGAGCTCTTCACGCCGTTCTTGTTTAAAGTCCAAGAAAAGCGCCTAGCGAAGTACAGAGAAATCGTTACGGTATTCATCGAGAATTACAACTTCATGAATTTCCAGTTGAATCAGAACGTCGCGACAACACAGATATTCTACCAACTCAAAGCTCGTACGGTCTCTGCGTTTCCTCCGACCTTCCACGAGTCGTTTTTGAAAGTCCCACAAAACGCGTTAGTTGAAATCATTTCGTTGAATTCGGACGAGTGGGCTGTTGCAAAATACAAGCAAATGAGCATCAAAAATGGAGAAGAACGAAAGGAAGACGAGGAGAACACTGGATTTATTGCGCTTTCCTTTCTGAAATTAATACCGGAGAAATTTGCGATTCCCGAGCGCCATAAGATCGAGTCCGTCGAAACAGATCACCACATCTTTGTCGTCCGGAAAAACTCACAAATGTATAAAACAAGACGACAGTCGGGTTCCGTCATCATGCAACAGTCGAAGTGTTGCCAAATCTGTTTTAAGCCGATCGAAAACCCATCGAAGTGTGAGTACTGTCAAAGTTTTGTGACGCCACTGTGCTGTTATGAATGTCTGCTCTCATTGAAGTGTTTGGAGAATGCGACATGCCCGTTATGTGGACATGAACTTAATAAAGACTCTAAAATAGCACCAAGTACGCCAATACCAGAGAAACCAATTTCCCCATTGAACTCCCCAGATTTAGAAAGGAAGTGGAAGAATGATTATAAGATCAGTGTTGTGGGAATGAAGGGGGTTGGGAAGACTTCTATTATCGTCAACTTTGTCTTCGGGAAGTTTGTTGAGCAAAAGGACAGCACCATCGCAGACCTCTTTAGAAAAACACAAATAGTAAATGATGTGCCTTGCTTGTTGAAAATTAGCGATTTCGAAGAAAATGACACAGACGGTGTCGTTCTTGTGTTTTCAGACAACGTCGCAGGCTCCCGAAAATTCGTGAACGATAAAATCGATGCGTTGAATCAACACTACAAACGCTTTGTTATTATCAGAAACGACTTTGAACCCCAGACCGAGGAAGACGATATATCTTTCCACAGAGTGTTCATTGTGTCTGCTAGAAACGATGTCAAGAACTTCACTAAAGCCATTGAAGAGTTGGTTTGTGACATCAGAGCAACAGAGTCTAGACCTAAGAAGCAGTCATCTCGATGTGTTCTGTCTTGAGTGTATATGTAATTGTTCTCTATATGTATAGTTCAATTTATAGTAACAATGCTAGACGGTGATTCTTTAAATAGATTCCGCTATTCTAGTAAATATAATTAAGAACTCTAATTTGGTAGTGTAAACTACTGGTATTAAAGTGTTATATAATTACTAATTAGTTAAACTAAATACAATCAGAAATACTCTCTTTATCGTTTGGCGGAAAGTTGGCCATTATTAAGCCACTAAATCGGGAAACAACCAAATTCAAGTTCATTGAACAAATTAAAGAGAGAAAAACCTGTGGGTTAAGTTCTAGTAGTTTAATAAGAAAAGAGCTAAAGAATACGAACAAGGGTTTAGTAGAAAATGTTACCAACTCAGATTTGAATTTGTATAGGGATGACATCCAAGAGAAGAAACAACGGCAGAGCAAAGAAGGGAAGAGGACACGTCCAGAGCGTTCGTTGCACAAACTGCGGCCGCTGTGTTGCTAAGGACAAGGCTATCAAGAGATACACAATCAAAAACATCGTCGAGGCCGCTGCCGTCAGAGATATCTCCGACAACTCCGCGATCGTCAAATATAAGTTGCCGAAGACTTATTTGAAAAATCAGTACTGTGTCGCCTGTGCCATTCACGGAAGAATTGTGAGAGTCAGATCCCACGAGGACAGAAAGATCAGAACCCCACCAAAGAGAATCATCAAGAGATCAACTAAGACTACAACTGCAAAACCAACAGAAGCACCAGCTCAAGCTACTGCTGCTCCAGTCATCGCTGTCGCTCCAAAAGTTGCTGTTGCTCCAAAGGAAAGACCTTTCAAATCCTTCCAGTAATTAACGTCTGACCTGTTCTATTTCTGTTTTCTTCTTATTACAACAATCTTAAAGAATTAGCGGTTTTGTGAAGACTTGATTAAGTAAGATTTAATCAAGACATTCAAATAATTAAACCGTCAAAGAAAGATGATAATAGAAAGAAAAGTATAGAAAATTAACTAAGAAGTTGGTAGAATGAAAAAGAGGGGAACTTGTAAAGGCAAATGGAGCCGATAGACAACATCGACGATCCGATCATCTCCGATGTGGCAGACACAAAACACAAACCCGTTGAGCAGAAATGGCTGTGGACGTTATATACAGTATTAACAGTGATGTCCATCATCACTTTAATATTGACAGTTACCACTTTGATTGTGCTTTCAACGAAGTTTGGAGAGATCAGTTACTCTTCAGTGGTCACTGAAGAACTTCCCGAGGTGTATGTCATTCCGGAAGACACAATAACACCAGTGAAAGCTCAACTAGCGCGTGGAACCTGCTGGATATTTGCAACGATTTCCTTTGTCGAATCCGCTTTGCGACGGCTTGCAATTTCGACGGGGAAAATACGACCAAACGAGTACATTGCGTTGAGTGAGCAAGCGTATGGCAAATTGATGCTTCAATTGTGTAATGGGACGTATGGGCCTATTCCAAGTGATATTGCGCCATTTTGTGAGGACGGAGGAATGGGACAAGGAAAGACTGACGATGGTGAAATCGAGTGGATGTATTACTTCAGAAAGTATAACTCTAAGTTCTTTTACCCCACACAAATCTGCAACTACACTGTCAGGAGAGGTGACACCGATTGGGTTTGTGACCCCGTCGACCTTAAAACCCCCGAGACCAAAACCCCGTTTGAAGTTTCCATTCACTCAGTCACATCACAGTACACCCCACAAAACATTAAACAGATGATCTTTGATACTAAAGCGCCTGTCGGGTGGGGACACGCTTCTTTGGGGCGAACGTATTTGTACCCCTGTGATGAGAACTCGCCATTTATAACTTCAGAAGAGTGCATCAGTCATACAAAGCCGTGTAGTTCTGGATTTTGTAGCACCGTGTCGTCACTCTCGTTTGCGTATGATGGGATTTTTCAGCTGCGAGGAGAAGTGACGAATCGAGGAGGTCACGCGATGAATATAGTTGGGTGGAACGACGAATTTTTGGGAGGGGGATTCATCTTGAAGAACTCGTGGACGTTTAACTCGGGACATTCACTTGGATATTTCATGCGAAACCACTCGTTGTTTAATGAAGACCAAATCTGTCCGACTTATATCTCTGCGAAGCGGTGGATACCTATGAGATATGACTGTTTCAAATCAAAGCAAGACCCTGAGCTTTGTCCACAAATCACACGCACATTCATCGAGCAAGAGTTGAAAGGAGCGACTGTTTTGAAGTGTGCCGGGTCCTCTTCAATAACAGAAACGACAAAAGCAAAAGCAAATGATTATGGATTTGCAGACTGCTCAACAGACGAAGGAAGAGCATATAATTATGCACTCGAGACATCACCTGACAGTGACGGGTCGGACTATAAACCATATGTTGAGTATCCCGATGGCGAGAATGGATATGCTGTGTTTCATTTGTTAAGGTGGTTACCTGGGAGTGAAGAGAATGTCGAGAGGATCAAGACTAAATACTCCACCTGGGAGTTCTTGGAGCGCATTTTTGTTCCAAACAATTTGTCACAGTACTTGAACACGGAACACTGCGGATACTATTTCATGACGTATGACGTCTTCTTGGAACACAACCTTAGACACCCCATTGGTGGACATGACACCTATGTCTTCTCTTCGTTCAACGTCACTTTCAACGCCCAATTCGATGCACATGAATTATACTCAAAGTCTGTTTTTGAGTACCAGCTACCCGTATTTACAGGCTCACTCGATCTCAATTAACTTTCTTTGCTCACTTTGTGTTCTTGTGCGGTCACAAAAAACGTCCATTATAATGGTTTCTTGTGGGTGAATGTGGAAAAAGTGTTATTAAAATATTAAAACAGTTCTAGATTCTTATTCAAATGGAAAAAATAAAAAATATTAGAAATAGATACTAATACTTTAGTAAACTCAATACAAATGAATTGTTGTTTTTTTTCGTGTTTTTGAAAGAAAAAAAAGTGATTCAGCGGCATTTTAGACGTTTTTAGTTCTGTTGGAAATACATTGAGTTTATTACAATGTATTCTATAAAGAAGTTAATATAATAGTACTGTTACTAGAAATATATAAATAAGAGAGATAAGAAGCGACTTTGTCAAAATTGCCAAAGATATGGAGATCGAAACACTTTCATACGAACAAAAATAGAGTTTATAGTGTTAATTTCTTTGAAAGTTATTTACTCACCGTTGTTAGAAAGCCGTCCTTCACGGCAAGTTTCAGGAAAATAAAACAACCGACTTAAAATGCCGAAGTAAAAAATCGAAGGGATAAAAGATTGAAAATACGTGAATGCCTGAATCAAAAAAATCCAAAAAACTCCATTTTCAAAGAAGGAGAATGGCACTGTTGAACGCTGGACCAATTTTTGGGCAGGAATTAAGCGTTGTGATGTCGTACCAATCTAAAGAGTATCCGTCGCTATCCATTCCTCTTATTTATGTATTGATGCACGACACACTTCAAAACATGCAATGTGAGACTCATGAAGGTATATTCAGAGTACCTGGCAAACAAGAAGAGGTCGAATGTTACAAAGACTTATTTGATAAAGGACAGTATCAAATATATAAGGACTGTAGTTGTAATACTATTGCAGGGCTTTTCAAACTCTTTCTTAGAGAACTGCCAACTCCAATTATTCCAACCAACTGCTACGACTTCTTTGTAAGTGAAGAGGTTGTTTCGGATATTAGTAATAACCCGGACAATATCAAAGAGTTGCTCAACAAACTTCCTTCTGTCAATAAAGAGATGGTCATATACATCATCTCCTTCTTACAAGAGTTGTCTGCGCACTTCGAAGAAACTAAGATGGGGGTCGATAACTTGGCAATGGTTTTTTCAGCTTGTATGTTAATTGGTGATGCATCAGACCCTTTTCTTGCATTGACTAAGACTAACTTGGCTCAGAGTTGTATCGCTGCTTTGATCGCCAACTTCCCTAAAGACATGATTACGACAGTCAACCTTGATGTGACTGGATACGACAAAAAGGGATTTGCTTTGTTAGAGGTCGACCCAGTGATAGCTTATATGGAAGAGAAAGAACGAGAAAAAGAGAAGTTGAAAGAAAAGAAAGGGATCTTTGTTCGTTCGCGAGCACAGAGTACAAAGCAACAGCAGACTCCTTACAAAGAGAAGCGGACATCACTTCACCACAAAAAGAATGAAACAAATATATTCAAGAACAGCAAAGGAGATTACGCCCTTGTTTCTGCTTTGGCACAGTCACTCTCGGACGAAAAAGAAACTAAAACACCAAAGCGAGTCACCTCAATGAACATCCCTAAAAACAGAGTTATTGATGTCTTACAAGCAAACTCAATGTGGGATCTCGAGATGGCTCCATTGCCCCTCAAATGCCCCGCATTCAACATAAAAGAAAAAATTCAAGTCTGACATGAGTTAGTCGGACCAGTTTTATCATAGTTTTTTTGTTGGTTTGTTATTTATTAATAATATAGACATCATTAAATAGAACCTTCAAATGTATTCTATCTATTTTTGGAATAATAAATAAAATAGTAAATTGAACTATACAAATAGAAACATTAGACTAAGGTTTTCGAGCGTTGGACGACAGAAACTGGTGGACTGTTGTCTGTTAATACCACAGTCTTGTATATACAGGACATTGATACATCATCATCTTCACCCTTTTGTACAACATCGACGACTGTGTTTGATGTCTTCTCGTTTTTGAGTAAAGCAAGAAAATATGTCTCGATTGCAGTAAATGCTGGCCTTCTATTTTCTTTACTTCTCCAGCATTTTTTGATAATTCTTGAGTAAGGACACGTCGCTGGTATTTCCAGTCTTTTTCCAGAAGTCACGAAGTTCCAAATAGATTCGTTGTCTGGGAAGAGTAAAGGGGAGTATGGGCACTTTCCGATCCAAATTTCTAAAATAGTAATAGCATATGAGAACACATCTGATTTCCCATGAAGGATATTACTTGTTAAAACTTCTGGTGCCATATATACTGGTGTTCCAACTTCTCGTGTTGAGGAAGTTTTGCAGTTTTCTATAAATTGCAGAGAAGTTCCAAAGTCAGAGACTTTGACGACGACATCACTGTTTGGATTATCATTCACTACTAAACAATTGTCTGGTTTCAGGTCTCGGTGTGTCACATTGTTGTTGTGTAAATATGCCATCCCTTTTGCAACATCTAAACAGCACCGGATCTTCATTGCTGCATTGACTGGATTCTCTTTGATAAACTTTTTCAATGAGCCAAATGTGCAGAACTCCGTGACCAACGACAAACAATCTTCTGCAACACAAGACCCAATAAATGTGACGATATAAGGCGACCGCATGGTTTCAAGTAACTCAACTTCTTTCTCAAAACTTGGCATCAAATTATGGGCAGAGTCTTGATCCGTTTTGACCATTTTCACGGCAACTTCCTGTTGTCTCCACGTTGCTCTAAAGACAATTCCGAATGTGCCTTGACCTATTGGAGGTTGGAATAAGAACAATTCGTCCCAGTCGAGTCTTGTAGATAATTGGCTTTGTGCTTCTATAGTGATATAAGTGTAAAAGGCCTTTGGCTTCTTTACCAAGTAATTGATGTCTGTGTTTTCAGAAGAGAAACTTGTTCGTGTGGAATGGCTCGAAAAGGAGTTGTTTGTGAGTTTATCGGAGGGTTGACGCTTCGAGTCGCTCTTCTGTGATTTTGTGACAAATGAAGTTGTGCGGAGTAATTTCTTGAATCGCGAAAATGAAGCAGAAATATAGACACTTTCATGTATAATTGTTGTGCACTGTAACACAATTCGCATTTTCACTAAAATTTCTGAGTGCTTTTTCAATTCACCTTTTTGTGGGCGAAACGCAATTTGGAACTTCTTGTCAGACGTCGCATAGAACGCAAATTTCATTGACTCGTCCGAGTAGTTTGTAACCAAGCACATCCGCTCTGTTATCTTCCCAACCTCAACACGTGCATTATCTTGTGAAAAGTTGATCACACGTGGAGTGACATCGAAAAATTCGTTCGGGAGGTTCAAATAAAATGTTTTGGACTTGTCGAGTTCTTCATTCGTTCCAATGACCAATTCCTGGCCCTCGTCTTGTTTCTCAAAAGCGATGACATCGTTGATTTGTTTGTATTTTATTACGAAATACGTTAATAATATGAAAAATGCGATAATATAGATTGAGTATACAACCGCGATAAGGTAAATATAATACAAAAAGTAATTGTCTTTTTGACAATTAAATCCTTTGCGATGATATCCTTTAATACACTCACACTCAAAACACCCCACTGTCCCATCACATTGTTCTCCTGGGTCCACTTTGTTGTTACCACATGTTGTTACCAAACAGTTTGTATGTGGTGTGGAATATGGAAGATACCCATTTACACACTCGCAGTGCACACACCCAACTCCAGAGTCGCACTTGATATCATTTATTGTGTTGTTATATTATAAATTGAATTTCTTAATTTGATGCATTTAAAGAATAACTAAAATTATTGCTATGTAAAATCAAGCAAACTTCTTCATAGTCTTCGATGATGTTGTTTCCACAAGTCGGCAAAGCGCATCTTGTAACGTTATTAATAGCAATTGGTCTGTACCCGTAATTACACATACAAGTACTTTTGGAACAGTGTCTAGGGTATTCATCAGTAACACTCAAGTCACATTCTTCATCAAAGTCCAAGACTCCATTTCCACAAGAAGTGCACATTTCATCACGTTTAATAAATCCTGGATTACATATACATCCACCTATTGCCGTTGAACAATATCCATTCACACAATTGTATGGACAAACCGATTTAAATGTGACATTGAATTGAATGATTAATGTTGCTGATATAAAAATATAGTAATAATATCCATCACTCAGTCGTTCGATTAATCTGGCATTTGAGCCACACCCTCTGTCACTGTATTGAACACACTCAGCACTTTGGTCTATACACGATTTTATTTCTCCATTTTTAGTCGATGGAACTCTTATAAGTTGAATGTACGTGTCGAGTGCAGGGTCATCCCCACAAGTTGACACTAATAATGTTTTCTCGGAACCTGGGATTAAATACCAATCCCCCTTTTCTTGTCGCGTTGAGCATATTGTTGAACTTGTTATTGAGTTAGCCGTGTTAACGGTGACCACACGAACCTCGTTAATATCGTTCCAAGACAACACTCGTTTTCTTTCATCGCATGGATGCGACATTTTGTGTACAAACATTTTGATGTCACTTGTTGGTACTGTCCCATAGTGTCCGAAGACATGAAGGAAGTAGCTTTGTTGCCTCAGAAATGTCACAAGTGATGCACTTTTGATGAGCGACCTTAAACCATCGTTGTAGCTTATACAATGCACATTATAACTTTCATTCGTCGACGGGCACACGTCTTGAATTGACAAGACTGAGTCAAATCCAAACTCGATGAATTGGAGTGTATAATAATCGATATTTTCTTGTGCGAACAACATGTCTGTGTCAAATGCATAATACCCACTCTCCGTCACTGTTAACTCAAACCAAATACCTTTCACATATGAAACAGTTTTATCAAATGTGAACCCACAGCTTTCTTGAGTCAACACAAAATCTTCTTTATACATATCGAATACTAGTGGAGAGGTTTCCAGGGATGAACTCAATTCAATTGTTTGCACTGTTTTTCTTTGTGTTTCGTATAAAACTTTGTGACACGTCGAAACATATTTGAAATCAAATGGAACACACTCTAAAAACCCTTCTGGATAAAATCCATCCCCACATCGGTGACAATCACTTTGATATGCGGGAGTTCGACAAATGGAACACTCATTTGGTGATATACACGAACTTAAACACCCTTCTACTTCACACTTTGGAACACAAGACCCGTTGTATGCGTTATACCCGTCGTCGCAGTAACAGTTCGTACAGTGCAGTGACCCATCGCATTCTTCAACCCCACTCACTACATTATCCCCACAAATTGGAATCGTGTTCATCAACGTCGCGTATGCAAATGTAGCGAGAAACCAAAGTCGACAACCCAAAGGAGTCATGGACTTCTTTCTTTGTTCGTGCTCCATTTACTCGTCGTTCAATCAAAGTGGCTCTCTTGTTTAAAAGTAAAATATGGTTGAAATTGCTTTGTCATTTCGGGAATATCTATTTTTAAATGTATTTTCTATATATAGTTTTTTTTTGTTTTTATGAGAATTTAGTAAATTTAGAAAAAAATTAAATGGTATTACAATTAATTTATTTATAATTTATTTATAATATAATGAATAGATCAATGAATTTTAAATAAATTTGACTCATAATATGCGATTTTTTATCGGGTCACTGAAATGCAGTTTTGCTATCTTTTCATTCTTTTTTTATAATTACTACAAATGAAACTATATAAAAAAACACTATTAACTATAATTTTACTAAATAAGTTAATCAGATTCGAAATAACATTTTCATGTTTTTAGTAAAGCAATTTGAATGCATAAATAGCCACAGTGTTTCCACGCAAAATTTTAATAATTAAATTTAAAAAAAATTTATGCAATTTTATTTGTTGATATTAAAAAAAACATTATTATAATGGAATAAATAAATAGAACTATTGTTATTAAATAATAGTAATAATTTAAAATTAATTTGGAGTGGGTTTTAATTGTTTTTAAACAAAAAGAAATGAGTATAATACAAGTAATAATTATAACAAAATTCAAGATAAACACCTAAAACCTTATTCAGATTGATTATAAGTTGAAAATAAAAATGATTAAGATATAACGTGTTTGTATCTTTATGACTGATTTAATTGCTCCATAAAGTTAAGATGTACTAACACAATAAATAAATTTACAAAAAACCCGGGTTGCAACATCTTTTAGGTAGCATCATGTCTCTAATACTATGGTCGCTTCCAAGTACGTCATAGGTAGTCATAATATCAAGGACTTCCTCGTCGGCGACGTCCAAGTCTTCAGAGCTTTCTTCGTTGTCGACGTCGTCAAACGAACAGTTTCCAAGAGACTTGCTTGACATTGACGGGTCGTAGTAGATGCTGTCTGCGGAAAACTCAAAGAGCGAGTTGTTGTCCGACTGCATCACGAATGAATAATACAGTTCTTTGAAAGAATTAAATAGTGAAATGACGAAGGCTTCGTTAAAGGTCTTTACTTCGATAAGATTTTGATGTTGTGCAAGAACATTCATAATATGGAGAACTTGAAATGTGTTTGCGTCCATTGAAGCCACAAAAAGAGGTATTTGGATGATAAAAGAATTCATAGATCGATTTCATTTCGTTGTAGCTTGGTTGTTGATTTATGAAACCAAAACTGGGGAATGACGGGCCAGTTTCGGCCAACAATGCAGGGGTTTTGGGATGAATCTGAAACGCAAAGGGTAGAGTCCTTTGAATGTTCTATTTGCGAAAAAAGTTGCATAAATATAGAAAGAGCTTTTTTTCCACTGGCGATCGACTTTTGTCGATGTGAATTTTCAGACCAAATCTTTCCATCCAGATTTGTTTTGGCGAACATTGCTTGTGCTACGTAATTTCGGCATTTTTTACTTAAACAACTCGTCCCCTTTAATTTCGGTCTTTTTTCATATAAAATGGAAAACAATTCAATACAAGTTTAACATTGAACGAGTTGTGTTAATCGTTTATTATTTTGCAAACTCTTTGTTTCAATCACTTTAGCAATATTGTCCAACTGTTACTAAGACTTGCTTATAAATACAAAGACGCTGTTTTAATTGAAATAAAAGGGATAAATGTGGTGACTATAATTATCACAAACCAAGTTGTAATTATGCCCGAGAAAAGAACATGGCGCTATTTATAATCACCACAATATCAACCCTAGTTTTCCACAATAAAAAAGTGAATAATGGAAACATCGACGTTTTTCAAAACCCTGTCATGAGTTACTTAAATTCGCCCAATCTAATACTAACATGAGAATTGATTTATAAGAGACACAAATTAACTTTGTGTTCTGTTTGTAGTGCGTATGACAAAACCAAATACATTTCGACCAATAGGAATAAATAATTAATTAATACAAATTTACACGGATTAGAAACCAGGGTTTATACACCTGCTAACACTTTGGCTCTTGTCGGGAACACGAGTTCCATCGTCCTCGAGGATTTGCAAGACCTCAAGGTCTGCTTCTGTATACTCGGACGTCTCTGAAAACTTGGACGCACACCCAGTCAAGGTCTCTTCGGAAACTCCTTCAGACGCGCTTTGGCTCTCAAACATATTATCTGGCTCTGAACATACTGAACGCGGCGTCTGCATCGTTTACTGCTCCTTTGTAGTTCCGTGGTTTTAAATTCCACACCACAGCCCAAATTAGTGCCTCTAAAAATGTTAGTCTATTTGTAAACACGCCCATTAAGAATGGTGTCGCTCGATAAGTACAGCATATTATCGGGATTATTTAATCAATAAGGGGTATTTTTGTTGAATTTGGAACACGCGACAAAATTGGTTATTGCCTACATTTTAAATTCAATCAGTACACTTGCACCCATTTTATTGGGATAATCCCCCAAGTATTATTGTGTAGGGTGTTTTGCCCTTCCCCTTTCTGAAACCGCACATTTCTATTTTAGCACCGCCATTTTTGGACGATTTCATTGTTGACTTTTCCCGAATAATGGCATAAACTCGCACGAACTGAAAGATACAATGAAAAGAAAGGAGTTGTTTTTTGGTTTTATTACTAGGGTTCATTTTCATTTTCCTCATTTTTTGGCATTGTGATACCAACAAACCACATTCCTGCGAGTATCGCAAATCAACCCTTATTGCAGTTATTTAACTATACTTTTAATTTGGTTATGGCATCTTAATAGTTATTTGTTATTGGAAAACTAAAACATTTTTTGAATAACCGGGTTGCGCCAGCACACAGACACAAATGCAAAAATGCCGAATATTTTTTTTGGCTTAAAGTTTTTGTTTTTCGATATTCGAATGTTTAGAGAAGCTCGACCTTAGTTGATCAGAAAAGTTGGAAGAATATTTTCCTGTCAAAATCATATTTTTAAAAACTCGATTCTTTGCCGTGCGTATAAGTAGATAACCATAATTTAATTATTAATATACCATACTTGTTAATTGCTATTTTTCTTTTCCACGCAATATCACTTCATTTGACATTTAATAATTAAGTTTTTATTCTACTTGTTTCCCGAGTTTTAGCATAAAAATGTTGCATCCTAAAGTGTTCAAAAATGGAAAAAATTCACAAAAATCGAAGAAAAATGAAAGTTCAAAAAACATTTCTGTCAATGGGAAAAAACGTCATTATCAGAAAAATTGTTTCATTATAGTTTACTAATAGTAACAATTGGTTTTAAGTTCGATTATTTTTTTCATCATTTTTTTCATATCAAATGATTTTAGATTTGATAAACATTTTTTTAATTTTTTTCTATTTTGTTCCTAATGTTTTGTATTTTTTTAATCACAAAAATAAAGCGAAATAACACCAAAAATCTTCGCTATATTGACCCCTTTTTTCAATAACTTTTTCAAAAAACAAAAGTTATTTAAAGAATTATTTTTGTTAAAAAATAACAATTTTGAATTATAATCATATTAATAAATATTAGTAAAATGTATTGATTTATATCTAGTTATTTTGTTATTTTTTGTAGATATTTTTTCAACACAATGAATGTTGTTTTTTAAAATATCTAAAAGCTGCTGATTTGAACCAAACAATTTAATTATAAATAATGGATTGGAGTTTTTCAAAAAGTGTTTAAAAAATAAAAACAAATTGGTATTAAAAATGTTTTTCAAAATATTAATACGTTGTATTAATATTTGTTATTTCAAGAATTTAAAGCTTAGTTTATCTAAAGTCTGATTTCTAATTAACGATATTCCAAAAATACAACAAGGAAATTTACTATATCAGTTTTTTTATATTATAATATATAGTATCGACCATCGCTAATTAAAAACCATAAATAAATAGTAAATTTCTTATTAATTTTTACCATTTGACATTCTCAAAGAAATGCTATTTGTCAATCTTTTTCTTTGCTTTTTTAATCAATTGGTATGACCTATTAATCGCCTTATAACAATGACACTTCTGTAATTAACTATAGAGTCAGTCTTTCAACGTTATCTGGTGGACAAAAAATAGCTTCATTTTTGTCTAAACATCAGGCATTAGGTAAAGCGTGAAAAAACCCGAAACAATTGGGATGGATTTTTGGGACTGCTCCCCGAATTATTCCATTTTTTATGGTCCAAAAGGCACCAGATAACGTTAAAAGACTGACTGTATTAAATCGTCTGCCGGTTGGTTGATATTACTTGGAAATTAGCCAGAGAAAAAATAACAAACTCCACATTTCTTGCTTTCTTTTTTTAAATGTATAATTTGGTTAAAAAGTTAAAAAATTTAAAAATAAAACAAAAAAATTATTATTTCGAAAAAAAAAGAAAAAAAAGCTATTTATTATAATTAAAAAACTAAATATATAGTTAATTTTCTCCATCGTTAATTAAAAATCCGACTTTATATAATAGTTTATTAACTTTGATAACTTTTTAATTCTATTTATATAATCCACGTCACAATCAAATTACAATAATTTTTATTTTAATTTGCAATATAAGTAAAGTGAAAAAGAAAAGAGGAACTGTAAAAACTGATTTATATAATTTTATTTAAACTATAATGAATAATAAAACAGAAATTTAATTTTGGAATCAAGTTTCTGTTTTTAATAATTTGAATGAATTGTAAACTATAACAAAGTAGACTCTGTCCAAAACGAAGAAGATTCAAGGTAAAGGAAAGTGAATTACTTAAAATATTCAGAATGAGCAAAATAGATTTAAACCGCCAACACCCACCAGCCTCACTCAATTTTGCACAGCTCCTTCAAAAACAAACCACAACTCCAAAAACCACACCTAAACCTCGTCCAAAACTCCCAAAAAGAGCACAACCACCCATCCCTCCACTTGTTACAAAAAATAAAGAATATTCCCCAAAGTCTTTTATGAAACAAGACCCATTATCACCAATAACTAGAAACGCAGAGATGCTCCCTCCTGTTCCCCCTAAAAGAAAAGGACCAGAAAAGACCAATCAAAACACTGATGAGAAAAGTGAAAATGAAAAGAAGATTGATGAAGAGAAGGAACGGCTTAGAAAAGAAAATGAATTATTGAAACAACAACTATTATTGGAAAAGCAAAAAGAGGAAGAACGAATTGAAAATGAAAACAAAGAGAAACTGAGAAAGGAAAATGAACGACTCAAAGTTGAACTTGAGACTCAAAAACAGAAAGAAAAGGAGAGACTTTTAGCTGAACAAAATCAAAAGATCGAAGAAGAGAAAAAACGAAGAGAAGAAGAAGAGATGATTGAAAGAGTCAAACAAGCAAAATTAAAGCAGAAAGCAGAAGAGGAAGAACAAGCAAAACGAAACAAAGAAGACAAAAAGAAGACACGTCACCGTTTTACGTCGGACTCTAAAAGCTCGTCCGGGGAGTCTTCTGCTTCCAAGAAACAGAAGAAGAGCTCCGACAAAAGTGGGTCAGAAAAGTCCAAGAAAATCAAAAATGTGCAACCGAAGATGTCGATGTCTATGAGTAAATTAGAAAGAAGAGAGAAGAGTGGAATACTTTCAGTGGGGTCGAGCAAAATTGTTAATATCACCACGCCGACAATCGTCACACCAATTAAAAGTCCATTGGACTATATGACTACCCCGAAACTAAAGAAAGAAATTGCTGTCCCTATCTTCTTAAATAACTTGAAAGAAAAATTGAATAAAGGCTCGGAACTTATATCCTCAGTTAAATCAGTCTTACACAATCAAGCTATTCACACTCTAATTCACAGAAATCGAGCAGTCGAGGGAGTTTGTAAATACATCAAAAACGGAGGTAAAAATGAAGGAATGCTGACGACTTGTCTTGTTGAGGTTGGCGATGGGTACCAGAGTTATTGTGTGATGTGCGAAGAATCATTGAACTACTTTAGTCGGAGTATGCTTGCTATTGTCGATGATATGAAAAATGACTCTGAAGAGAGGGACAAGTTGTTTTCAGCTGTGAAAGACACGTTAATCACAAATGAGGAAATCACATTCTGGGAAACGTATTTGGTCGACTGTGAAAGTAACACAACAGGCATTGAAATGCTCAAAAAGATCAAACAAAGAGGAGAAGAAAAAGTTCAAAAAAGCATCGAAAAAATCAAGCAACTGGCTCGAATGGAACAACAGATTGGGGATTGGGAATCAGGAGAGAAGTATGGAGTCTTTGCTTTTGGAAGAAATATTCAGGAAGAAAACACCATTGAAGTTTATGATGGTGAGAATTGGGGAGAAGGTGTAATCCTTTATTGTAACGACATCATTGTCATCAAGAACAAGCAAGAGATACTATTTGTGGAAGAGTATGAAAACTTTAAAATCGAGAATGTGTTTGAGAATGTATGGAGTGTGTCTAAAGAAGGCAGAGGTGTGTGTTACATCAAAACTGACCATATCGAAGAGTTTACTCAAAAGGTGAATACAAAGAGAGTTAGTGGAGAGAATTTCTATCAGTTCCCCATTGAGCTTTGATATCAAATATTATAATGTTGAGTGTTGATTACTTTATTTAATCAATTGAATGACTTACTTCATAACATTGTAACACTCATCTTTTATAAGTTGAGACTCAAATAGTATGTCCATTACTTATTAAATTGAATAAACAGAGTCAATTAAAAACAGAAGTAAAGGTAGAGAGACATACCCATACAATACACAACGTAAGAACCGCTACAAAGAGGACGGAAAACCCAATGAAGAACCCCAAAGAAACTCTTGCATATCTTCGCGCCTTTTCATTCTGAGAGTTTTTGTAATAGTAAAAACATACTAACCATAGACAACTCCCAAGAAATCCAAGCAAGAAGTATTTCATCGCATTCTCACGTTCTAGTACATAGAGCTCTCTTTTTTGTTGTTCTTCCTTTGTAACAAGTGAATCAGTAATATCAACCTTTTGGCTTGCAACTGGATTGTTTAAGTCAATTTGAATCATTCCTTCTATTGTTGAATTTGAGTTTGCGAGTTGTTCAGGACTGGTGTTTATAAAAAAACAAATACTATACTTCTAATTACTCAAACCACACTATTTAAGTTATATGAAATACATATTTACATTTGGTTTATCCTTCATATTTCGTAGATTTGTTCCCAGAAACTTTAACATACACAGCCGAATATCCTCAAATGGTTATGTTCTAATATTAAAATTAATTATTACTAAGTAATAGTTCTATTTCCTTTGACTTGAAGTAAAAAATGTTTTAGTCCAGAGGAAATTGGCCACCGAATAATTGTTATAGAAAAACATTTGCTTTCAACTTTCGATGATTTTTCGTAAGTAAACTATTAACGAATAGTATTAAAATTATAATACATAGTTCCATTCAACGGAACTCCATAAATTCATACAATTAACAGTTGTATGTGAGGATATCTTTTCTTGACCACCCTCAAGTGCACTGGAGAGTTTTCGTTCTTTCTTTTCTGCTCAAATATTTTAATACATTTGTTGAGTTGTCCGACGACCCGCCTTCTTGCTATTTTATTCTCCTCTTCGGACAAATTGATGCACTTCATGTTATTCATCTTGCAAAACTCTTCCAACAGCACGGAAGATTGGACGCATGGCTTTCCTTCTAAGACCCTAAACCCACGCTTTGTCTCAAGCAGTTGTTTCATCACACCAAGTAATTGTAAATACCGGATGTCCATCAATTGGTTCTCTTTCCCGTCTTCGAGAGACATCACATTGATAGTACAGTCTTTAATACTGTCGTATACGGCACTCAACTTTTCGTAATACAATTGATACTCCCCGTCAGTCAATTTAGTCGGCTCTACTGTTCGCTCTTTACGCTCTTTCTTATCACCGTCGTCTTTCTTTGTTTTTGTTTTCTCGGGCTTTTGACTTTGCTCTGATTTTGGAATTGGCTTCTTGGAATCGGAAAGGCGACTGGAATATCCACTCGCGTCCCTCGACTGTTCTCGCGTCTTTTCCGTGCGTTCGGAGGACTTCTCGTCTTTGACTTCGCTTGAACCCGACGTTGATATGTCTTTAGCTTTGGAAAAGGTTGTTAGAGTTTTCTCGAGTAGCTCGGACCGCTCTAATATCGTGTTTTTCTCTGTTTTAGTCAGATAGAGGTCATGCATCTTCTTGTAGTACACCTCCTTACATTCTTCATATCGCAATTTCCAAGAAAGCGACTCTTCTTTGATCTTTTTGTTCTCCGCAATGAGAAGCGCGTTCTCCGTTGACAGCTTCTTGAGTTCGACTTCATCGACACGGAATTTGACGTATTGCTCAAGTGGAATGTTGATGTTTTGTTGTTTAACAGCAGACTGTCGCGAGTCGTCTTCTTGCGACTTTGAAGATTTTTGGAACATTTGGTCTTTATGCACCTTTTGCTGTTGGGGTTTGCTTGCATCCTCGAGAGGAATGTATGGAAGGTCTGCGCTACTTTCTACCCAAGGCACTGCGGGTGGATAACAGGGCTCGGGTTGGGGCGTTTTATCGCATCCGTGCGTTGCCATTTTGTCCTTTGAGTTCATCGCAAAGATTTCTTTTCATCGCGATGAACTATAGGTGTTTAATAGTTTGTTTTATAATTATAGTATAGTTTTGGGTGTTGTTTGAATTTATTTCTCACTGATTTATCTATTTTTATTTTAGTTGTTTTTATATTTAGAAACTATATTATTATCATAAAACCACCACATAACAAATGGCATATATTTATAGTATAAATAATAAGAAAACAATGCCAATTGTATATAACATTACCATTTTTGGCTTTTTGCCGATAGTAAAATAAATAACTATTTGTGATACTTATTTTTTTTATAAAATATCCCGAAAATTTGGAACTTTTTCTATAAATAATGTATTTATTATAATTTGTATTGTAAATAATCGAAAAAAATGATAATTAATTAAAAATAAATGGTTTAACTATAATTCTGTTTAAATATATTAAATCAAATATTAACTATTGAATATTATATTTCATACTGACTTCTTTTTTGTTTGTTTCAATCACTTTTTTTTCAAAAATAAAAAAAAAATCTTATTTTATAAAAAAGTGAATAAACACAAACCCTAATTATTTTTTATAAAAACTTATTATAAAAATGACATATTAATAACATCACAATGAAAAAATAAGAAAAAGAAAAACATTTTGCAAAACATAAAATAAAAAAAATTTTGTTTAAAAAAAATGATGAATTCAGCAATTACGAAGAAACGTCAGAAATTAAAAAAACCAAAAGAATTTAGAACAATTCGATTAATATCTTTCTTGTTTCATTCCATCTCTGAAGAAGTAGAAGACTGGGTTAGTTCCATCGTGATAAATAGACACGACGAGGCATCCGGTATCAGTATCCATTGATCTTCCTGAATAGAAAATGCATTCCTTGAAGTTTTCAATGACTTTCTTAACAAAAGCTTGAGCTTCAACTTTGAAAGTAGCGACTCTTTCTGGGTGTTCCTTGGTTAAATAATCAACCAATAACTTGAGATACCCTTTAACGTGTGCCATATAAGCAGCTTTGGTGAACCCATCTTGTTGAACAAGTTGTGACCCCTCAACAACATCAATGACTTTCTCAATAACAGCAGCTTCTACTCCTTCACCAGCAGCTCCCTCCTCAGCATCTTCATCGGCATTTGAAGCAATTCCTCCGTCGTCCAATTTTTTATCAATAAATTTTGCATTAATCACATCCATACAGCCCTCCTGTCTGATCGTGAAAGAGTCATTATACATTTCATCACCGTTGAAGATGTCTTGATACACAATCATTGTATCTCATGGTGTTCTGCTCGACTTATATACCCCCATTAAACCCTCCGACTAGGGCTACCTTTCTCAACTGCCATTTCCCACCAGAGTTCTTGTTCATGTGTTTTTGGTCCACATTTTGTATTCAGTTGTTATATTACAATCGTTTTTCTTGGAATTCTGGGACTTACTGCTTGAGTTTGAGGTAATGCAAACTGTTGGGAAATGTTATTTCGTAAAATAGTAAAATGCCCTGGTATGCTTTTCTTAATTTAGATGTTTTGAACTGTATTATTATTATTACTTATTATATATTATAGTTTAAATTAACCAATAAAATGACCTATTTTTTTCATTTATATAAAGACCTTTCTTGAAAATATGACTTCTCTTAGTTTTAAACGTCAAAAGCAGAATATGCACTATTACGGGCTTTGTGACATGTTCTGATATGTGTTCTTGACACATAGAACTTCATTTATAATTCGATGGAACAAATAATTCTTTTTTGAGATATAATTCCCCCTTTTTTGTTTTTTGTTACCATTTTTACACTCCATCACCAAAAATTTTTCCCAAAAACCAAGTTTACTGGAAGGGTTTTATTTGTCCACACGGGTTTCATCATTTCGCGTTTTTTGACAAAAAATCAAAAAAATACTTATTAATTAACAAAATTATAGTGTATAGTTTCCCATACTCACAATTCACAATAAAATATAATTATAAAATAATATAAAATATTATTAAAAACGCAGTTTAAAGTGTTTCGATACAGAAATGTTTTCATCCAAATTTACCCTTTGATAAGTAAACAGAAAAAGCTATAAATTATAATACAATACTAATATTTATTAGTAAAAAGGTATACCACGGTCAAGAACCCTTAAAAAAAAGAAAAGGAACTTGCTTTGCAGCCTGATGTCCAAGGACAAGAACAGATCATCCCACAACCAGTCTCACAAAAACCACAGAAATGGTTTCTACAAGCCAAAGCACCATGAGTACGAGAGCAAAAAGGGTATCAACGTGAAGGTTGCGCGTTCGATCAAAGCCTCAAGAAAGTTTGCTCTTAAACAGAGACTCGACGCAAAAATGGCCAAAAGAGCTGCTGCCGCCGAACCAGCTGCAAAGAAGGAATAAATGACTTGTCTTTGTTTCTCTATTTATCACTTCTTATTAACTTTCTTCAATCCTTAACTCCAATCCCTTCTCTAGTTATTTTTTATATATATTAGATGCTATGACTTCAATCATTCCTACCCATTTGAAACAACAGAGAACAACTTTTTCAAATAACTTTTACACAAGCAACGAGAAGTCAGGAACATCTTCTTCAAGCAATCCAAGCCCTTCAGGAATCTTTTCTAACCATTGCTCGACATTGTTTTTCTTCCCATCAATTATGTTCCCACCTTGGATCACACAATTCCCATCTTGGATCTCCACAGGCTGAGCACTACACCCTTCGATCGTCGAATTCACCACTAACCCTTCTCCTTTGTCACTCACAAAAAGTGCAAAGTCTTTACCCGCGACTAAATTACAGTCGTAGACAAGTGGATTCGCTCCAGTACGTATAGCCATCCCAGGAAGCGCATTCTCAGTGACTGACGTCCTCACAAAAATACCATCTGCTCTGTTGTGCAAATAGATCCCATTCGATTGCCCACGAGAGACATCAGAGTCGACTACAATTGGATTCCCGCCTCCTCGGACTTCGATCCCGGGCATGGTGTTCTCTTTCATCGAACATGACGCAAACAGTCCCCCACCATTCTCGTACACAAAAACACCGGCGTTTTTTCCTTCTTTAATCGACGTGTGGACAACACAAGGAGATCCGTCCTCACAAGACGCTATCCCAGGCAGATAGTTCTTCGATATTTCACAATCAAGTAACACACCTTTGCCCTTGTTCTTCACAAATAGTCCATTGGAAGTTCCGTCAACGATTTTTGTGTTGATGACGACGGGATTCCCTTTGGTGTGCGTTAATATCCCAGGCTTCTTATTCTGTGATATCGAACAGTCGACAATACAGCCACGACCATTCTCTGTGACGTAAATCCCAGTTCCACATTGTGATATGAGACATTCAGTGATTAAAGGATTCGACCCTTGTGTTATGTTAATACCAGTCTGGCATTCGCGGAAGGTTGTTTTATCGATTAACACCGTTGTTTCATCCCCTGCACAGACTACACCGACTTTCAAACATTGTGTGACAGTGCATTTGATCATAGTCAGACTGACATTCCTTGGAAAGAGTGTGACACCTTCCTCTCCACAACAGATCCCACACTGTTCCATTATCAACTCGCCTTGTTGAACGTCAATTACGGGTTTCGCTGTCGCGGAAGTGGTAAAGTCGATGTTTTGAATAACTACACGTTCTGGCGCGGAGACCAAGACACACGCAGATGACTCCGTTTTCACAAATATATTCGACCCGCCTTCTTCCACGAGTCCAACTAATATAATCGACTTGTCTATCACAATCGGCTCCGATTCCTCATACCTCCCGGGTTCAATAAAAATATAACTGTTTGGTGGTGCTGTTCGAACGGCGTCGGAGATGTGTTGCCGCTTGTGTTTTGGGCCAACGTAAATTTTTTTCATGCCTTTCTTACTGGGTATTTGCCCCATCCAAATCACCTCTTACTTTCTAGTTTCTTTTTTCATCGATTTTCTTGAACTTCATTAAAATCAATTGGCTTTGTCATCAGTGTTGGTGTCTATCGGGAAGTTACTAGTAATTGCATGACTTTTTACTATTCGAGTATAGTTCTGATGGGTTGAAAGAATCGAAAGAACCAGTTTTGAGGCGCAAAAATACAAAGTTTGAGGCGAAGATATAACTATTCATATGGTTCTCAGTGTTATTATTTAATAGTTAAAAAAATGAGACTAATTAAGAACAAATCGCTAAATGAAATAAAAAACATTTTCAACAACAAAAAAATAAACAAAAAACAAAAAAAAAGAAAATTCGAAAAAAATTGGAACAACAGAAGTGTCGAAAAAAGAACCGTCTGAAATGTTCATTGAGGATGAACGATGAAAGGCAAATTGATGAGTTGTTTTCTGTTATGTATCACTCTACTATCACTTACCAACTCTTATATATTGTGTGATACTCCTGATGGTGTAGTTGCAATATACGCAACGGACAATTGCCCACAAAATGAGACACTTACCTCACTCGAAAATTTCAGTTTTATAGATGGCGTCTTTTCGTTCACTTCTCAATCTCCCTCTCACTTTGTTTTGAGATCGGGTGTTGAGAGTGATATTGATTTATCTTTTCGGTTTGCCGATAATTGTCCTACGTCAACCTTTTCGCTTGAAAACGGAATTTCTCCGACGTTTTTCCTTCAAAACATTGGATCTTTCTCATTATCTCTCAATACTCATTCGAGAAATCTCAACACATTTTACCTTTCCGACAATTCCAATCTCTCAATTTCATCACAAAATTATATTTTGATTGATCTTCTCTTTTCTGGGTCGAAACGAAAGGAGGTTACGATAAATGTTCCATATTTCGAAATTCAATCTATTCTTGCACAAGACTCAATAACAAAAAAATACTCCACTCAATCACTCAATTTTTGTTTTTCATTTTTGACGTCATCTCATAATTTAGGATTTGCAGTTCCAGATGTCGCGAACTGCACATCTACACCTGGAAAAGTGGAGTGCTCGCCTTATAACTTTTGTGAACAAAACAGTGTCATTACTTTTCAGGCTTTGAATGGCAATGTAGAGTGTACAAATACCGATTTCGAGTACTTTGGTTCAAACACCAAAATTGAACTTAAAAACAATGAAAACCTCAAAGTGATAAATCAAGTTCCGGAATCGTCTATCGACATTATGCGCCAGTATGACAGCGAACTGTCTTTAGAAAATTTTGGGGAGACCAATATTCACAATCATCACAACGGGACTTTTTATTTGAAGAACCACAAGAATGTAACTATTTACAATTACGAAGGAGATCTCACTATAATAGAAAAGGTTCCAAACAGCACAATCAAATACGTTTCATTCAACAGCAATACAATAACATTTACTGGTGATGTGCCATATACAATTCTTTTTGAGACCACTCAGAAATCAGTCTGTCAAAGTTTTAAAGTGCCAAACAAAAATGTAACGCTAAGCGGAATATATTATTGTAACACAACTAATGGAATAGAATTATGGTGTGTTGAAGAGTGCATACCCATAGTCGAACCAATAAAGTGGATTACATGGGGCAAAGGTATTCTGATCGTCTCCGCTGTTATCACGGTCTTAGTCTTAGTGGTCGGACTTTGTATCGTAACCGTCTTCTTCTTATTCTCAAGAAAGAAACTCCAGTCCAAGTCCAACTTCGTTGAAATTGAATTACCCGATTGATGACATCCACTCCAAATATAGTTTTATTATAGTTTAATTGAACTATTACAATAACATTATTTTATTTATATAAAAACATAGGATTATAAATGTTATTATCAGATTCAAGCACTAATCTATAAACTAATAGTAAGAAGTAAAACTTCAAAAGAACTAGAGAAGAATGAGGTATAAGTATAAAACCAGAAAAGAAGAATGAACTCAAAAATTACAAAAGCGAGTCATGTCGAAAGAGAAACAAAAAGTTGAGTTAAACAGCGTGTTGGGGTACCCACAGGACGTTCTTTTGAGTGAGATAAAATCTCTTGCCTTCTCACCGAAAACATTTGAAAAATATAGCGAACTTTTAACGGCCTATAAGCCTAACGAATTTCCGTGCAGTCATTGTCTTATTTTGTTTGTTAAGTTTTGGTAACCATTTTGAATAGATTTATAATGCTTATCTCCAGACGTGAACAAACAAGAACACTCAATGACAAGAATTTACAGAAGTTCATGTCAGAAGTCGACGCTTACATCACAACTGTTAAAGTAGAGAATTTTGCGAGTGCGGAATCTCTCTTTTTGGAGATGTTACACAAGACAGAAGTGTATTCACAGCGCAACGGAAATCTCATCACAAAAATGTCGCCAGTGATTGAAAAGTTGTTGTCTCGGGTCGAGTATGGCATCTTGTCGCCATACCATTCATTCCAAGCTCATATCTTATACTCCACAAAGCAATATGATATTGGGAAAGTGTTATATTGCACCAAATACAAAGGGGTAGCTCCTGGAATGGATTCGTTTTCTCTTCAAATGTATTTGTACTACGTTGGATGTATAGCCTTGAACAATCGAGACTTACGTGACGCTTTATTCTTATTCCACCAATGTGTCGTCTGTCCAAATAAATCATTGACCACTCCAGCTTTGTGTGCTTGGAAGAAAGCCACTTTGCTCTCTTTAATTGTTCGTCACACTCAATACAACACAAATGGGTATCTCGCCTTCTTTGTAGATAATTATAAGGAAGCCACCGTGTACATAACTTTAAGTGAACAGTTCAGTGCGGGTGTCGATAAGCTTCAAAACGTCATCGAAATGTTTTCCCCACAACTCAAGTCAGATGGCAACTTTGGCTTGGCTAAACAAGTCCTTGTCGCTGCCGTGTTGAATGGCTTCGACAACGTGTCAAAAGCTTTTTCGACAATCGCCATCGACCAACTTGCAAAAAGAGTGCATTTGACACAAAATGAGTTGAAGAAGTTCATTAAAGCGATGACCGAGAAAGATTTGCTCACCATCACCTTGTCACAAGACGTCGTCACTTTCAAAGAGAAGCCTGTTAACGACAAAACCATTACTGAACTCTTCCAACAGTTAGTCGAGTGTGAGGCCATCTTCGGGTTTATGAAACAGCACATCGCAATCAAAGAAGAAGAAATCGCCAGTGCAAAATCCGCTCAAAAAGCAAAAGAAGTCAAAGACAAGAAGCAAACTGCATAACACATTTTCGTTGATTTGTTTCATTTTAAATCATTCACTTCCAAACAACAACACAGACAATAACCATAATTTACTCTTCTTTCTTCACTTTAGTGGTGGTAGTCCCCTTTGGTACTCGTGGCGGTGCAAATGTTAACCAGACAAAGAGCCCAAGTGTAATCAAGTGGATGCAGAAATAAGTCTGTTTAAAGATCTCCCACGCAGTCCAGAAGTTCATGACAAAGAATGGCGCAAAGTTGTATTTGACCGAATAGTTCGTATATACTATAAGTATAGTATTGTAGATGCTCATCACCGTTTTGTTGTTGTTCGATTTGTACGCAACGTATGGCGTCAACTTTTTAAAGATCAATTTGCTTGTTTCTGTGTGGAGTGCAAGGGTTCCAAAAGAGATGTAATACCCCGCATAAAATCCATGCCAGAACGCAGACACTAAATTGGTGATCACTGTCTTCCACGAATCAAAGATGGTTCCTTCCAAGTTCAAATAGACGTAATTGGCCAACCAGCTCTGGACATTTCTATTCCACAAGAAAATGGAATTGCGGAAGGAAGTGCTCAAGTAAAACGTTGGGAAGTCCAAATTAAGGAAATTCTTCCATACACTCTTTCCGTCTTTTTCTCCACTGTACCCAAACCCACCAACGATCGACATCGCGTCTGCTACATACCACGTTCCAATATACTTTGAAAGACAGATCTCTCCAGTATACCAAATACAGAACATTTTGAACCAGAATGAAGTGGTGTCCTTTTCATTCAAAACGTAGTATTCAATTTGCTTGGGCTCAAATATTGATACGACCCAGACTAACATATAAAACGCTATTCCAGCACCAAGGCGCCGGGCAAATACGTCGAGTGGGATGATTGGGAGATTTCCCTCTTTTTTCTCTGCAGGCATCTTTTCAAATTGTTTCATAGTGATGAAGTCCATATAATTGTTGAACTCAAGAGACGGTCCACTGAATATGCCTGGGAAGAAGAAGACATACCCAAAATATTCGGTCAACGTTGGGTACGTCTTAATCTGCATTTTCTTTCGATGTTCACAGAGTGTCTCTTGGTCGGAATTGGCGTCTGCAACAGACCAGCAGAACGTCGAAAATCTGATGACAAACATCATGTGGACGGTATCAAACGCAAGTTTGTATAAAACACCAACACTGAGGACTTTGTGAAGGTGAACGAGTGACAAATGGAGTATCAAGAAGACCATCATTGTTAGTGCCATTCTCTTTGTGGGAAATGCTTTCATGATGTAATATATCGGGTATGCCAAGAAAACAACAGACAACGAAATCGGACCAAACACAATGAACGACATGAGCAATCCAATGATGCCATATACCTTGTGTTTCAGGTTACAGTCATTAGGTAAAAATCGGCAATAGTAAGTAATTGGAATAGCTAAGACAAATGAAGAAAAATACTTCAAATAGTCGACTGGGACGTGGACCACCTTTGAAATTGGGTTCAAAATCAAGTCGATAAGTGACAACGACATCTGTTTTTCCAGCTTTGTAGATTTTTATCCCAATTTCAAACAACTTGAATACCAAAAGAAGTCACCAGTATGTATAGTTTAATGTATAGTTTATTTATAACATTTGATGATTCTTGCTTTTGTTCAATACTTTGTTCAAAAAAGCAGGGGGATCAACCCTACTTTTTTTTTCGATTTTTACTCCTCGAAAAATAGGAAAAAAAGGGGTTTGGAAAACAAAGGACATTTGATAACTTGATATAATAGTTAAGTTTAAATTATCAAGAACCAATAGAATCAATTCACTATAATTGGGTATTCTATTTTTAAAAAAATGTAACAAATTCTATAATTATATTTTATTTGTATTAACACTTTAATATTTGTTAACACAGAGACATGTATGGAGTTAATATAGAATGTAATAAGGAATTGTCTCAAGTCTGAAATAAAAAGCTACAAAACAATCACTCACGCTGTTTTTCTTTTGAGTCGAGCCATAAGGACAGAGACCTGTTTTGGGGTCAAAAAGTTGTCTCTACAGAATTGGTTGTATAAACCGGGGTTATTGATGTAGCTTTCTGCCTTTTGGTTGGCTATGATATCGTCACATAATGTTATAACTTGGTTAGCGTCCTCCTTGTCCATCTTTCTAATAATGAAGATGTCGAATATTTGCCATGAAGTTTCCGACAACAACAACGATGCGACACCAACAATAGCACATCCATACATTGGGATTCTGTAATCTTTCAACTTATCAGAGATAGGTCCTACTATCAATGGTAAAGAGAATGCGACTAAATTGTAAGTGAGTGACTCCTGTAACCCGACATAAATTGATGAAATTTGCGAAGTGAGCATTGACAGTCTTGAAGTAGTGATCAACACATTTTGGAATGAATAAGCTCCACACAACCCCAAAAAGATTGCACACACCAATTGAGCAATCCAGTGCGACACGGTGCCACAAATGAAGTGATTGATAATAGAGACTATCATGAAGAAGTACATCAGTCCTCGGTTAAAGAACAACAACTTCATTTGTGCAACAGCTAAGATACCGACGGTGTACATCAAGTAAATAATACAGAAGAAGACACCAATGAAGATATCATATCTATCATCTTCACCTTCCATTGATGGGAAGTATCCATCTTTTGTATCAAATATTCTATTGAAATACTGTGACCCGTAAGTCAACAAATTACCATAACAAGTGATTGTGCACACAAAGGCAGGAATAAGGAACTGCATTGTACGCTTTTTAAGACGAGCTCTCTCGGTTTTACCCATCTGCCAAATGACAGGAAGGTTCTTCTTCTTTTTATCTTTCTTCTCTTTCTGTTCCCATCCAAGGTCGACACCAAAGATAGTACTTCCTTCCCAACATGGGTAGATAACAAAGACAATCACCAAAGAAGCAATAGAGATAGAAAGTGCTTGGACAATTCCAAGTTTGGTAAAGAGGAAAGCGCCACAGAGATATCCAAGGGCTTGCCCAAATGTCCACATACCGGAGAATATACCCAACCAGAATTCGGCATCTCCTGCAGTGCTTTCACGTGAAATTGATGTTTGGATTGGAATCCAGAAGAGTACATACTACTTTGTTATTCAAATTCATTGACTCAATTGATATTGTAAAGAAAACAAACTGAAAATGCGTACATAACTCCCATAATCCACAAAATCCATAAGTTGTCGTTGATGAACATCAATAGAATGCACGCGGCTATATAAATGGCAACACCAATTCGAGCAAGTAACCACCCCGGCAAAAAGTTGTTAATGAAACCGCACACCCACGAGAGCAAGAAACAGCAACCAAAGTTAATGGCGTTAATAATAGCCAAGTCCCAATTTGTTGCGTTTTGTTTTGTTGCGATAAGAGGAACAACAATCCAAAAAAGAAAAGCTCCAAAGTTGTAAAGCAATGAACAGGCGCAGTACCGGTAGAAATTACTGAGGAGGTATTTGACTAAAATGTGGACCATCCCTCTGTTTTTAGAGTGTATTTGGCATGTCCTTTTATGTCGTAATATGACATAAAAAACCATGGAAGGACATTTACCTTTTGCCCATTTCTGTGTTTTTAATTGCTTCTCCTTTTCTATATTTTTCGCTTTTGTTTTATGATGTACTTTATTCGACTTTTTTTGATCTTCTGTTAATTATTTGTAATTGTGCATTTTTGGGAAGTAAATTGTCTACTAGTTAATACAAAAGTCCATTCGGTTTTACTATTATTGAATTGGTCATTTTTATCGTTATAAGTCGGGAATGTGGGGTTGAAAGATCTTGTTTTGCAGTTCCCACCGTTTTCGTTTTTTATTATTTTGTATAACTCCTAAAACCCTGTTTGAACTAGTTTAATTTACTATTATTATACTATATGTTCATTTTGTATATTTTTAGTGTTTTCTTTTAGCGAAAAATATTTCCCCATTTTTTTTGAAAAAAATAGGTTAAATAATTAAATATGGTTATTTTTATTACTTTCATGGTTTTAGAAAATATAAAAAAGATATCATATAAATAGCTTATTTGACGTTTTTAAGTTTATCTGTAAAATTGTTTTTAATAATTTAGATTGAAAAAACATTTTTAGTTGAATTAACAGTTAGTATTAACAACAATAATTAATAATATTTAATATAGGTTCAAATTAAATAATAAATATATTATTTTTTAATATAAATATTTCAAACTATATTTGAATTAATTAAAAATTAAATTTTTAATATAAAAACAAATAATTATCAAATTATATTATATTATTATAATTAATATAGTTCTATATTTGTTGCTTTAATAAGAATTTTGCTATTCTAAAACAAAAAAATGTTATTGTATAACACGATATTTAAACAAAAACAATAAATTTGTTTTAAAATTTTATTTTAAAAAATTGTTTGAAATGTCATTTCTTATTTTAAAAAATGAATAACAAACATTATATATCTGGAATTGTTTCGTAGTTTTGTATTAAGTAAATGAATTGAATGTTGCAAATTTTTTTATCATGTCAAAACTAACTCCAAAACATTAAAATAATCACTGAATCAAAAAAATTGGTATAGAGTTGCCAACTTTGCCAGTCTGTGTTCTTTTTAGACACAAAAAACACGAATCGATAAATATAGAAAGGCACTAATAAATTTAATTAAAAAAATAAAAAGAAAAGGCAATTTGTTGTGTATACATCGGGATGATTATAGACAGCGATTTTTGAATGGTTTATAAAAGACAAATCTGCTGTTTTTTAAACCCCAAAAAATTAAGCTAAAACAACGAATAATACAAACTGGTTATCTCGATTTAAACAACTCTTTAATTCATCAATGTTATTCAATCTTTTTCTGACATTCTGGTAGTAAATGGTGTTTATTGTCCATATTTGTGTCTATTTTTCAGCAAAACGTGATGATAATTATTCGATTTTTTACCAGTAAAAGAAAAGAAAAAAAGGATATTTTTCCGATTCAATTTGCGAAAAAAGATGCTAAGATTATCTGTTATGAAATTCTACTTGTTTTGTATTTATTTTTCTTTTCTTTAGCCCTGTACCCAGCTTCAAGACTGCCAAATACAAGCACGGCTACAAAGAAAATTTGGGTTTGATTATATTTCTTCCCTTGTTTCCATTTCTCTGTCATGTTTATTGATCCATTTCAAACACATCGAACACTCGATTGGTAATTTTATTACAAAACAGTAAAGAAAGAGAAAAATGTTTTGGTCAATTTGACATTTCCAAACACCAATCCACGAGAATAAAAACAATGACTATTCTAATTACAGTTTCATCCTTTTCGATGCGCTGTTTGTGTGTTTTTTCGAATGTTCACAATTGAGGATCCCAAGGAACCTTGGGTCGTTGTGCTCAATAGTGACAGTCTTCCCCGGCGTCCCGTCGAAAAGGCTTGACAGAAAGAGGTTTGCCTCGTCGCCGATGGTGTTGATTTGTTTTTTTGAGAAGAGGAAGCCGCCATTGTAGAAGATCCTTCTGACAAGGTCGGTCTTTCTTGTCCCGTTCTTCCCAGTTGTTTGCGTAATTTCACAAAAATAACCCTTTTCCATGAGTAAATCCATCAGAAGGTGGTGTGTCTCTGTCATTCTGTTGGCTGTTCTCCTTCTTTTAGCAGTGGTTTCTTTAATCCCGTGTATTTTGTCTTGCATAAGTATTGATAAGCATCTCTCCTTGACGCAATGCGAGACGTCTATTTCATCATTCCCAAAGTCGACTCTGACAACGTTGAACGAAGGCTTTGTTAATACCGACTTCTTGGAAGGTTGACCCAACTCTATTTTGCAGTATTGGCATAGAAGAAGGATAAAGACACCTTGTTGATGTGCCATGGAGTCTCTGAACTGCTTGAAGGCCGTGTTTTCCTCTTCAGAAGTCTTAGCAGGCGCTTTGAGACTGAAGGTGTGGGTGGCAGACATTGAAATGCATTCAAAGATTGTTGGGTTTCTTATATATTGACTGTTATCTTGACATCTTCTCGAAAGCTCGTCCATTTTTGGGGTTTTAGTGTTTTGGTGGTGCTCCAAAAAAATGTCAAAACTCCTTCTCCGCCAAATCAACGGGAATTCGCGCAGGAAATCCAGCAGACTTTCTCAACACCCCTCTCCAGTAGTTATTGCAAGAAAGGTGCACTTTTGCGAAAATACGAATTTTGAAAAAATCCTTTTAAAAATAGAATTTCTAGCGGAAATGACGTTACTAAAATAAGAGTTGGCCACACCAAGAACGCGCATTAAAAAACCGAGTGCACCTTTGTTCAAAACGCGTCTAGTGCAAATTTTGAGATTCGAAAAACTGTGTGAAAAACTCCCTTCAACTAAAAAATTTTTGCAATAATTTCAGCACTGTTCCAAAAACTGTCTCTCCAAATAATATTCAACGGCAATTACCACTCAATTGGTATTGATTCCCGGACAGTGCCGCGAGAGTATTCCAAAATAGTATAAATACAAAAATTTGTCACGACATGTAGATAGAAATGAAAAGCACTTTTGGAAATAATTTTTGGTTTTCGGGTTTACTTGTTTTTGGTTGTTTAAGCATCCTTTTTTGAATACTTCAAACATTTATCGCATCTACGCGGATAGACAGAGTTCTTGTATCGAAATCTTTCGGGTTTTGAATTGAAAAGCAAAACTTGCCCAAATTGCATTTTGACGAGTCGAACCTATTTATACATTGGTTTATATTTAAAACGAATATAAATAGGAAATACTAGCCACATTTTCGTACTTTTATTATATGCTGATAACCCAATGATACAGCGGTAGTATTCAGGAACAAAGAGAAGGCGTAAATAAATTGTTACTCCAAAATTGTTTTTGCCGATCTATATTCGACCTTTTGGTTCAATAAGAACAGTTTTTTCGACTTATCTTTGTTCTGTTTACCGGTTTACTTACCTCCTTTTTGTACAAACTAGTAATAAAAAGTTACCTTCTTTCTGTCTCCATCGCTATAAACAACAAATTTCACATGAGCCACCCGTTTCAATGCTCTATAAATAAAAGGGCTGTTTTCATTTAATTTCTACATTTCTGTTTCATAATTATATTACGCAATAGGAGGATGTTTCACAAGAAGTTTTTTCGTTTTTCATTCATTTTTTTTCATTTAAATTTGTTTCAAAAAATCGATTGAAAATGAGAGACCAATTCTGAATTCAATTTATGAAACTCTTTGTTTTAGATTTTGGAATCACACTGTAGAAGTTTGATATACTTATTATAGCCACAGAACTTACATCCATTTAAATTATCCGAATAACATCTAATTGAAATGCAAAGTCGTGTATTCTCAAACTCCAAAATCTTTTTTTATTTAAGAAAAATACTTCCAATTTCAATTTAGAAAATCGAAATTCTTATCATTATTACTTTATTCATAAACCACCATATACAAAAGACTTTACATTTTCATGGTGTAGTAATAACCATGACAACTGAAAAACTAATTACCATTTTTAATCAATTTATTTCACTGATTGAGCTTATCCTAAATTCTAAAATTTAGAATCTTATCCCCTGTCAAATTGTATTGTCTACAATTATATATGTTATCAAAGAATGAAAATGCTTTTGAAAAACCTTTTAATTTGATGACCTTTGATGTTGGTCAAATGGTGTAATAAGATGATACTCAATAAACATGACTACCGTAGATTAAAAATTAAAAATTAAAATTCTTAAAATGTATTATCTTATTGTAGTCCATCAATTGAAAAGAAAACACCAACTACTTTTTTGAATTGTAATTTTTAATCTATATGAATTAAAAACTTGTTTTATCGATAATAATTTAATTAATAATCATTTGACTTACTTCTGTTTTCTTTTTAAAAACTTAATGTTTAAAATAATCCTTTACGTTTTTTCGAATACCAATCCTTTATATATTTGCTTTTAACTTGTAGGATTAGTTATTTTATACTTAATAAAATTTTCTAAATATTGTAACTTAACTATAAAAACAATTCATCAACTTTTTGATGATTAAGCAGTTACTAATCCTAATCACTTTCAAAATCATCTTTTTTAACAATGGCACTGGAACGTTAAAGTCTTATTGTAACAATTGGGTTCTACTCTTAAAATACTAAACTATAGAGTTTATTATTAATTTTTTATTAAAAAAACTTATTAATAATTATTAATAGATTTTAATAACAAAATGTTATTGAAATGTTTTTGAAGCTGGAAATAAAAGAAGAACTTAAAAAATGTATTAAATGGCAACAAAACAATTCGACGAACTTGAATCTCTACTCAACAACTTTAGTAAGCGTCTAAACGACATCGATAAAACTCTTCAGAGTGTGACTTCAAACCAACAAAACAGTGAAGACCTTTTAAAAAAGACCCGCGCACTTCGCGAAACAGCTCTTAAAAATCACCAAGACCTTTTGAACTTCCTCAACTCGCATCAACAGTCCATTGAGAGACAGATAAGTGATATTCGTGTGGCAATGGGATGTGGCAAAAATGGCGAGCGATCAAATCCACTCGATGAGACAGACATACAACACATTGAGTCACTCACCGGTTTGACTACAGGCGATGTCAAATATCAGGCAACTGTCGATGGATTTATCAACTCTTCATTTAACAAATGTGTGAGCGGTGTACCCAATTTAATAGTTGTAGTGTTCGACAGTGAGGGCAATGTCTTCGGTTCTTTCAACTCCGAGCCCCTCCCCAACATGGCTCTCTACGACGGAAATTCGGCAAAAGGAGTTTTCAATGATCCAAAGCACTTTTTCTTTGTCTTAAAACGCAAAGGCGTCTCCGATGTTAAAAAGTACACCCGGAAGAGTGTTGGCTATTCTATGTGGCTTTTCAGTGCAATCGAAAATTTGGTTTCTGTGAACGGCGCGTTTGTGCTCGTGAACAACTGCAACAGGTCATTCGACTCTTCCATTTCAGGAAATTTCAACAGAGAGTACGGTGAACCGCTCACTGTTGAGAAAAAGAAATTTATGGTTCGCGACGTTGTTGCCTTTTCACTCAAATAACAGAGGTGTAACACGCTTTATATCCTTTTCTATATTTTTACTATCAATATAACATTTGTTTGTAAGAATGCTGGCTAGTATAACTACTAATTAAATAACCATAAAATAAACTAGATTAATAAAAACAACATTAGAGTGGTGTTGGGAATTCAAAAGGGATTAGAAGAACTGCACCTCTTCGTCGCGCTTAAGGAGCATCTTCTTAAGTGTTGTCACACTCTTATCGTCCAAGTCCTTAGTTCTCACAAAATTGGTAGCGCTCCACGTCAACTTCTTTCTCACTTCCAATGCGCGCTGGTCTTTCGATTTGAGTGTGCGTCGGAAATTCTTGAACTCCAATAAGTCCTTTCGCATACCCATTTGGAAATTGACGACAAACTCATTTTCAAACCCAAGTTGCGGTGTTGGCGCAGAGATAACGAGGTCTTCCTCATCCTCCTGACATGTGGTTTCTCCTTCTTCTGATAAGATCATATTAATCATGTGGTCTGGTATCCCTGATTTGTCAAAGTTGACTGTCTGTCTTGTTTCCTCCTTTTTCAGTGATTTTAGATACTTCGAACGGGTCTTCTTGGGGCCAATTTGACCGTCTTTGATGATCTGAATCCCAGCCAATTCATCCAATATTTCCTTTGTCACGTGTTGCATCAACTCTTGGTTTTTATCATTGAAAATGGTCACCGACTCTGTCTCGTGTATGGAATATACTGTGGAATCTTCTTTGGGTATCGGCATCTTGGCTATCTCAGGAATTAAGTTGACCACCATCCTTTCCAATGAAGGGTCACCCGTCATCGCCTTTGACACCACCTTCCCTATCTTCTCCATCATCTTTTTACGACCGTCACTCCACTTCATTAGCACTTTGGCTATGCCAATCGCCGTTCGGGCCTTTTTGGGGGTGTCAAATTGGACTATACCGACTTCGAGTATTTGTTGAGAAGCTTGACTGATCAAAGGATCGGGAAGATACTCCATAAAGATCATCAAGATTTGGGAGAGTTCAACCACGGTAAATGAGGACACATTCTTTGTCTCTTCATACTCCCCAACTATTTCCATCCGCTGCATTTTCTCTACTTCAAAAACGTCCGAATTGCACTGAAGGTATGGAGAGAGGTATAACGAGTCAATAAGGTTTTCGAGTATATCTGATGTGATCCTTTCAATATTGATACCAACAAGTCGATTTTGGTAGTTGGACAGACAGACCCGACAGAACGTTTTATACCACAACAGTGTGTTTTCAATACTCTCCGAGATCATTGCATAAGTCGGGACGTCTTCTGGGTTATTTGTGATATCAATTGCCTTAGTCAGTAAAAGTGTCGGTGTATGTGTTTTAGGGTTACAGATGAGTCGAAGTTGGTAGTATCCGAGATTCAGTACAAAATTTGGTTCGCTCGAGTTTTTGTAGAAAAACAAGAAGCCGTCGGTGTATACAATTTTGTATGGTACAAATCCCGACTTCGTTTCAAATTGTTTTGCTCGATACCCAACACACGACATGACATGTATATATGTATTATTAAGGGGATGTGGAGTGCATCTCTTCAGCAGTGTACCTTTTGGGAACTGGAGGTAACTCACTGGAAACACCAACAACTTCGACATGTCACAACACATTTGTGCTTTTGAAAATGGGTTGATCCATTGTTTAATCTTACAATTTTCGTCGACTTGTAAAAACGCAAATTCGTCCGTTTTTGCTCTGAATAAGTGGACTAATGATGGAATGGAATGTGCCAATGGAGCTGTTGGATCGACAATTGTTTTGTACTTTAACATCATATTTGGTGACCCCGGTTTGCAGAGAAACAAAAGGGAAATCGCGTCATTCTTCTCAAACACACAGAAGAAATCCTCTGGATCATTTCTATACGCTTGAGTCTGTAACAAAGCTTCTTCGATTGACATCTTTGGTGACAACGCAACACCAACTTGTAACAATTTCGTTGGAGCCAAAAAGAATTGATAATTTTCATTTCTCAGTTCTTTAACAACGTCGCCAACAATGGCATCAAGACTCACTGCTATTTTTATTGGGTAATTATACGAGTGTTTGTTCGCAGGGAGTAACACCCACATCACCACCTCTCGTTCTTTCAATTTCATTTTTGTTCCATTGGGTTGGTTCGGTTTTTCAATCCTGAGCAGCTTATATTTATGTAAGTGTTCCAATTCATAGATCCTTGTCAATGGGAGACCACTGCTTTCACATATAAATTCCTTCGATTCCTTTTCTTGTGATATTTTAAATTGCTCGTTATCCCCTTGTATCGTGCTTTGTTGTAATCGAGTTAAATAGTTGTCGATAATTTGTGAGTGTTTAATGATATACGGCGTGTTTTGGTACCTTACAATGGAACATATCAACCCACTCAGTACTCTGCACTTCTCAAAATTGATCAGCGTCGTTTCCGTTTTGCTTTGTAACGTCTCAAAAGTGTAAACTGCAGACGACGACATATCTTCTGTAAACAACAAGTCTGTTAAATACATTCCCAAATAGGGTAAAGTCGCTCCAACAGCCAACTTTTGTGCTTCTCGAAGACTTTTAAAGTTATTTGAATTATTTGTGATCCCTTCAATCCTCTTTAAAATGGTTATTGCTTCATCATTCAAAAACCTTTTAGTCAGTCGAAGTCGATGGACTGCAGCTTTTCCAAAAGCACTAGCGACTTCCATGATCCCATTGAAGTTGTTTAACACAATGAACCCTCTCCCCACCTCCAATATTTGTTGTGCAACGCACACGCGTTTCGCAACATCAGACGCTTCGAGTAACATCGTCACAAACATATTCGAGACGTCATTGAAGTGATTCACAAAACAATACACATTCGGCGAATTCTTTTCTTTCTCCTTCTTATTCCACGCATACAACTCAGCCGGTTTAATCTTTCTAAATAGATCAAATTCCATCATCGTCATTTGTCTTGCAATCATAAGGGGGTCAATTAACAAAAAACTTGGTTCAGAAGTGTATAAGCTCATCCCTTCCATCTCAGTCTCTTCAACAACTTGCGCTTGAAATGCTTTTCTCTCCAAAGCGTCGAAGAATTTCCCCTCCATTTCTGTATCGCCAGATAACTGTAAAACGTTCTGAAATGACTCAAGTACAGCAGTCGTTTTAGGGTTCTGGTCGTTCCACATTTGGTTGACCCACTTTAGCACCACATCTAATATATTATGTGATACTAATACATTGGATACATTCTCCACAAGTTTGTCGTGAAGTTTGCCCAACACAATGTTTTGGTCTGATACACAAGAAAATGTGTAAGCAAAAATATCTCTAACATCTTGAGTAGACGTTGTAGTATCAGTTACGTAGTCTATTAAAGCTTCAAGAGTAGCGTATTTGAGTAACTGCCCATCCATTATGAGCTTTCTATTTTCATATTTTCTGATTTTGGAGCTGTTGGGCCTTTGAAGTCTCCAATGAGTCCGAGGCGTATTTTCAAAAGAGACTTCACCCGAGTTTGAAAGACTCGAAACATTGACTTGTGAACTGTATGGCTTCGACATGAGTGAAGAACCAAGTTGAAAAGACGAACTGAATTTTGGTGAGTTATCCAACTCGGGTGTTGCATGTTCTGACCGAGTGTTTTTAATGTCTTCACATGACCGCGCGTCTTTTGGTCTCATCATTCCAAACCGTTTCGGACAGTTGTGTTGTGGGGATGCTCTGTCTTGTGGCGATGATGATGAGCTCATTCCAATATCTGGAAATTAAGTTTCTTTGAATAGAATTTGCTTCTTTGGAATAACATTACTTCTGTTTTAAGATCGTCAGTCTTTGGGTTGTTTACTGGCAATTTGTTAGGATTTATGTTGGAATTAATCCCCAATTGTTATCCCATCCTCAAAACCATAGGATTAAATTGTTCTCATTCAGATTTAGTTCCATTTTTTAGTTTAAGCAAACTATTAATTAATTAAACATTTTGGTTGGCAATTATTGGAAAAAGAATTGTTATTATTAACGGTGTAAGAAACAGTGTTTTCGGGATGTTAGAACAGCAATACTTTGAATAAGAAGTTCGAGATTTCTTTAGAAATTGCGGACTTTTCTTTCAACGACATTCGAGTGTTCTCTGTTGTATTTAAAATGTAACTAACAAATTATAGTATAATTAATGAATGTGCTAGTTTATTCCAAGACTTTGAATTTGATTAATTTGGTTATTTTTGTACTGATTTTTCTTTTTAAGACATTTCATTGATTTTTAGAACACACACAAACAAAATTGCATTATTGAATTACCAAATGTTTGAAAAACCTGTTTTGATCAATAATAACAGCTTATAAAATAAAATAATAATATAACTTTGGCAAAAACAACTTAATCGTTATGCAAAAATCCCTATAATTCAGCCCAATAATCAATTAAAAACCATTTATAAAAGTGAATTTAAAATTTCTTTCTATAAAAATGAAAGTTCTAAAAACATAAATTATTACTGTTAATGACTTGAAAAAAATTCAAGTCATTAACAAAAAAGTGTTAATAGTGCAAAAACAATTAAGTTGAACATTAGTTACTAATTAAATAGAACTGTGCAATGATTCAGTCACAAAAATAAGTCAAAGTAATATCATGCAAGAGTAAAATTAGTAACAAGCTCCTTTATAATGAAGACCACAGCTGTGACAAAGAGAAGAAGTGACAAGCACGCAACCATAACAACAGCAAATACATTTGACCATACTCCAGAATATGGTGTTCCCTTTTTCTTGTACATTTTGATAGCCTTTCTTCTTGATAGATACTGGAATATGCATGGAAGAGTGAAGCACAACACAAACGAGAAGCATCCAGTAACATCAAATATGACTCTCAGACTTCCTACAAGTGCCGTGAGTATAAATGGTGGGAAAGCCGCCAATGCCTTGACAATGTATTTTGTTTTCTTACTGTTTTTGTCCGCAAAAAGTGTTCGCATGTTTGTTGATAACGTTGTCGCAACAAGTGGAAACTCGTTTGTCAAATTAACTATTGGGAACAACAGAATGAGGTACTTGATAATAAACGCCCACCATGTAGTCTTCCCAACACCCCATCCACCTTCATGCCCATTATAATCAGCCCATGCGAGAGTCACTGGTGATGGTGTAGATACTGTAAAACACCACGAACACACCAACGCAATAGCAACATATATCACAGAACAAAGTGCAATGGCACCCAACGTCACAACATGTGCAAGTCTCTTTTTCGAAAGTGGAGCCAAAGCGTCTGGCAAGTTTTGTTGGCATGCAAGTGCAAACGCCATATGTGTGAACATCGATCCAAATCCAATCCACTTGAATTTCTTCAAAAACGACACATCCTCAAACGTCCCAACAGTTAACTCGACAGGCCCTGAATACGCTATTTGCACTGTACATGTAATGAACATCACCAAAAACGACAAAAATCTGTAGAACGTCAGAACAAGTTGAAGAATGCTTTGTTCTGAAAGATCAATGAAAGTAAGTGGAATGACCACAAGACCATAGACTCCAATTGATGTAAAATAGGTCACATTACACTTCCAATCAAAGTGCCATCGATTCGACAAATCACACTTCATCGGCTCATTCGAATAAAACAACCAAAAGAGGGTCGAGAGGGTAGATACACACGTCGCAACATACGCCCACAACGAACCATATGCACTACACATCAAAGTGATAGTAGTCGCCCATCGCAGTGGTTTCTTCCCAAACATCTCTCCCATAGTCGAGTAGTCATACACCTCATATCCTATTTCCATCTTAATATCGCCCGTTTCTTTCGCCATTGTTAAGCCATGTGCACGTGCAAGTGATTCACAAATGTATAAGGCAGTCACACACGACAGAATGGAGAAGACTATTATTGTTAATACGGAAAGGGGTACTCCAGCAGTATAAAACGCTGATGGCAACCCAAAGACGCCTGTCCCAACTTTTTGTTACACTTTATCTCTACGTTCGATGGACAGAAAACAAACCAATGTAATTCACTACTACTGCAAAACAGGTGATCACTGTGTATTTGTGAATCTTTGGTGGCACGCTTTTCCCAGTCGACAAAAGCCGCTGGGACTCACCTTGGTTTTGGATTGGTCGGTTCATCTTGATATGTATGTTTTTGAGTTCTTTCTTTTTGTGGTATTTCCTTCCTTCCCAAAAGTGTTCTTTTTTTTATTGAATCGAACATTTCGTTGCACAACACTAAAATATCAAAAACAAAAATCACCATTAACACCAAAAATGTTATTTATAATAGTTTATTATATAGTTAATTTATAGTATATTATTTAATACATTTTTACATTATTTTTGAAATACATTATAATATATTTATTATTATTATTTGTTATTCGAAAAGTATTATAATATAGTATATTTATACTATGTTGTACAATAAATATGTGGCAAAGACTAAGAATAACACAACAACAAAGAATATAAAAGTCACAGCTTCCTTTTGATCGACACAACAAGCTCGTTCACCGTGCGCACGAAGTGTTCGCACCCTTCAAAGTACTCAACGCTCCAACTTTCCGCCTCTCTTCCAACGTCTTTCCAAGACACTTTAATCTTGTTGTCGGTGGTGTCGTGTTTGACCTCAATAACAGAGGACAAGTCAATGTCTCTGACCGAGACCAAATCAATGATGAGTATCGAGTTGATTGTCAAATAGATCTGACACTCCGTTTTCAAAAATCCTTTTGTCAAACTGAGCATCCCTGTGTTTGTTTCTACAACCGCCTTTTTAGCAATAAAACTGAATTTCCCTTCGCGCCCCTTCCTTGTCCAAAAGATGTTGAACAGCTCATAAATCACTTTTTCAATTAAAGCAGAATTTTTGAAGTGATACTCTCGGTTGTCCATAACACCCTTTTGCTTGTAAATGATTTCCATCTTGTTCTCTTTCTCGGTGATATCAATCCGCTCCAATGCAAGAAGATCGATCGTGTTGATGATCCTTCGAGTCATCGGATCGATATTGCACAACTCACCAAGGGTGAGCCTTAACACGCGTGTCTGAAGCTTTCCCTTTTTGTTCACTTTAGTCACAGTGAATTCCCTTCTGTCCATCGCAAGACTTGTTTCCGGCAAATTCACACAATTCACACCAACGACGTTTTCTAGGTCAACACACGTCTCAGCAACAAACAACTTTTTAAGTGACTTCCCCGGAAAGAAATCTTTAGCGGTACTTATGAACTTCCTCACCCGTTTGTTTGGATGGAAGACGATGACCCGTCTCACATTTTTCCTCTCCACGTCACTAAAAATTTTGTCTTTGTTTTTAATGCACTTTAAAACGATTTTATTGAGATCGTAGTTAACACCACTCATGTCAAATAACACGTCGTACTTCCCAAGTCCGTCAAATACACATCGACACATCTCTCCCCAATGCTCATCAAAACACGTTTTAACAACATCATCTTCTTCAAGAATCGACACAAATTTGTTCATGATGACATACACTACTTTAGCCCCATCTTGAGCCTTGTCAATGTATAACACCTCCTCCGTCTTAAGTTCATCCACTACGGTCTGAACAAAACTTTTTGTCTCATCTTTGTCAACTTCGACTTTTGTTTTAATACCAATTTTCCGTTCTTTGATATATGGCGACATGCCAAGTTCACGACTGATTTGGCTCAAGTCTAAAAAGAGCTCTAAGTCGCTTTTCTTCACTCTTTTCTTCGCCTTTTTAGTTCGCAACATGTTAAGTTGTGGCGATTTGGACCGTGTAATACCCTTTGTCCACCCGACACTTCGACTCGGTGACACTGAACGGGCGTTTTCAGTCGCTACCTTTCCTAAAACGTTTTCAGCAGAGTTCGACTGTACCTCACCTCTTGATTTATCTTCGGACACATCAATACTAATAACAGTACCTTCGCTACCTACAAATTTGTGAGCACTTGTGACTCGTGCAACGGGTTTTGTCAACACAACTTTCACGTCATCGTCTTCTTTTGTTTTGACAAAATTGACAAAGGTGTGCCGAGGGGCTCGTTGTGTGATTTTGGGCACTGCTCGCTCGCGTTCTTTTTTCTCGAGCTGTGGCTTCTTTTGTAGTGCATTTGCTTTGTTAATCAAGACGTGGAGTTCAAATAACGTGTTCACTTCGACTACATCTTGGATTTGGAAAGAAACTCTTCCAAGATTGAATTCAGCGTCGTGTTGATTACACAAATTCTCGATATCAGAGTTCACCCGTTTCGACATTTCAATTGTGTAGTCCATAGTAGGAGCGATGTAGGGTTCTTTTGGCGTAGTCACGTTGTTTGCGATGTTTTGAATCACTTTGGTGATCAGTATTAAATTTCTTCTACACGTAGGTGTGACAGGAACTTCCGTATCAAACACTGAGGCCTCTGGGGTTGTTAACGCTGGACAAATCACTCGAAGGAAAAGGAATCCGGAGACGATGCTATGTGGAAGAATAGGATTGGCTGGGAACTTTTCCTTTGATTTCTGGAAGAGGGTCTGACAAATAGAAATGATTTGGATTGGCAAATGGTAGAGTTGCTGTTCGACGGATCGAATCGTTTTAGTGCAGTAGTCCAAGAGGAGTTGTGTATTGTTTTCAACTTGTTTTTGTGTCAAATTGGGGTTTTTAGTTGTGTCCAGTTCGAAGAGACAATTAATTGTGTTTATCTCAGTTATTACATTCTTCAGCGACTGTCTTAAAAACGTTTTACAAGTGGTCTTCGCATAGTGTGTCATCACCCTACTACACAAGTTGTTCGATCGAAACAAAGTACCTTCAGTAATCGCACTGTCGTATTCATCCTATTAGTTAATAATGGTGTTTAATAACGTACACTTCGCGACTGTTTAAATTAAAAGACAAACGTCAATCATCGCGTTAATGAAAGGGACTATTTTATCGTACTTGTCTAGTACGTTTGTTATTAGTTTGGTGTATGGATCTTGAAGCTCTGGTGGGAGTGTCTTTCCAATGTAAATGCACAAATCAATATTCGATGTTAAAGAGCTGACCATGTCCACATAGTGAGGATAAATATCAACAAAATCACTCTTGTTTATGATGATTTTGTTTGTTGCCATAGAATTTACAGATGAAGTGCTTTGCGGATATTTTCTTGACTGTTTGCAAGAATCATTGTATTTAATTATGTTTACTAGAAACTATAGTTCCTTCAAATCTAATTGTTTTTCGCTTCTTCTCCTATTTTTTGTTGGTATTAAAGGGGAATTTTAGGCTGTTTTTTTCGTTTTTTTTTTGTAGTTTTGATTAATTGGTTTTTACATTGAAAATCAATGAAACACAAATTTTGCTTTGACCAATTTTCTTCAAATTAAATCTTGTATTATAATTATTATTATCAAATATTTTCAGTTCTATTTTTTTTTCGATAACTAAGTGCTACTAACTTTTTATTTACATTAGAAAATGGGTTTATAATTTGTCAAAAATAACTTTATTGTACACAACTTCACCACTTTTTCTTTATGTGTTTTTTAATAAAAAGAAATTATAATTATAGTATTAATTAAACAATTCTTTTTTAAACTGGAAGTTAAAATTTTAAAAATAAAATGATTTTATATAAATATAGTTGAAGAAATATTGTTTACATAGTTTTAAAATATTTTGATTCTTATTAAAATATGATAATATAACAATCAATTAGAAATAGTTTATTTTTTGAATTTATTTTGTACACGTTTGCAAATAACACAATTCAAACATCAAAAATTAATAGTAAAAAAACCATTTTTACTAATTAAAGTTTTACTAAATTTTTTATTGGTTGATAAAAAATTAAGTTAATTATATAGAACCAATTATAATATATTAGAACATTTTATAATGATTCATATGATATATTTACTTGCTATAAAAATAATAATAATAACACAAGAATACCCACAGTGTTCAATCCATAATGTCAACAAAGTGTCTCAACATATTTACTAAAAGCATCGAAATCATTTTGAGTGTACACTCCTTCAAAATTTACATCATTTGCTCGTTTTAGGTTGAAAGTGTCAACAGTGCCAAGTTCCTCGACGACTTCATTACCAAAACAAAACACATTATTATTCACATAGACTCTGAGCTCGACTGAAAACAAGTCTTCGTTGTCCGCTTTCATCGCCTCAATTTTTTCGTTTAACATTACCATCAACTTCACGAACTGCTCCTCGTTGATATGTAAAAGCCTCTTCCATATATTCCGTTTCACTGCTGCAATGTAGCAACAGAACCATTCATTCGCGTTTTCAAATCGCCCAAACAGATTAAGGACAACAACTTCTGTTAACATTTTGTTGTTATTCACATCAAGCTTTCTGAACGTCGAAATAGATTCATTCAAAAATTTTGACTTTTTGTCTTCTTTGGGGGATAAATAGTTTTCTTCCATAAATTTGAGATACACACTTTTGTTGAACAGACCATTTCGATTCAAATCATACACCAATAAATTGTCACTTTGTTTATCAAACTCTCTAAGGCATGTGTGTCTGAAAATACCTTCTATCTCTTCGGTATTAATAACTCCGTTGTGTTCAACTAAGTCGAAACAGATAGACAAAATTTCTTTGTCATCTTCATTGCCGTCAAATTTCTTTATATAGTCTTCGATTATCTTGGATTGTTTCCATGTGATTATGTTTAAATTCTTATCATCAGCTACATCAAACAAAAACTTCATCATGTTACCCTTTTCATATTGGTCGTCAAGTTGGTGTTTGACGTAGATCCAATCGACATACCCCTCTTTGGGTTTTTGGTTTAATTTACTTAAAAATTTACCGTCGTAGTTGTGCATGACAACACCTTTTGTAAACACGGGTGCATAATGTTTCTCGATTTTTTGTATGTTATTCAAAAATGAAGGAACATCCTTCTGAGTACTTGTGTTAAGAACAAAAAATGTGAACATCCCAAGATTCATAAATTCTTCAAGTTGTAACACACCATCATCGTTTTTGTCTAATGTTTTCAAAACGTTTTCATAATCGGATTTCTGGATTGGAGTCTCTGTGGATGAAAGAGCTCTGAACTCTTTGAGACTTACTTTTCCAGAACTATTTTTGTCTAAGAGTCTAAACAAAACAACCAATAAACACTTCTCATCTAGAATGTTGTTATTTTTCACTTTAAGAAAATCAAACATTCGGCGTAACATGACATACTCTCTTTTTGTTGTATGTCTTTTTGATTCAAATGCAATTTCAACAATTACATTGACAAGACGTTCGAGTTTGTTATGGCTCTCTTTGGGAAATATCAACAAAACACTTTGAGCAACAGTCGTTTTTAATGGACTTTTATTATCAGACTCAAGTAAGTCGTACTCTTTTCCATAATGAAGTTCGATGGTTTTTAAACAAGTTTCGAGTGTCATGTTAGAGTCTTTAGTTCTTGAGGTTTCTTTGATTGTTTCTTCAAGTGTCAAAAATCCATCTGCATTTTTTCCACACTCTTTGAAAAATTTCAGTGTTTGTTTTTTGAGGATTTCAGAGTTATGATATTTTTGGCAAAACATGTTTGTTATCTCTTTTAGTTCCAACGTCCCACTAAAGTCTTTGTCAAGTACAAGAAATATTAAAACAGCTATTATTTTATAACTAAGTTCTTTCATAAGCACGTTAAGGTAGTCTAACAATTGCAGAACGTATATAAGTTTTTTGAAAGACACTAAACCTGTTTTGTTTTTCTGTGAAAAGTAAAGTGTTGTTAAAAGTGCACACCCATTTGTTGTTAAGTGTGGGAAAAGTTTTTTGGAAATTTCCACACACTCAGAGACCTGAACACCAATTTTTGAATGTACTGCTTTGTTCACTTCCTCGATGATCAACTCACGAGCCATCTTAATGTTTTGAGTTCATTTTTACTTGTTATGGAACTGCTTTTTCGACTTTTGAATTTGGAAGAAATGAAAAATTCACAAACATATATTTTGTATTTAAACTATATTTTATAATAAAGTTTTTGATGTTTGTTACTACATTTTAGTAATACAAAAAACACCAAAATGACTTCAACTGTTAATTGTTTTTAAAACGACTTGTTTTATTGGTTTATTTTATTGATTATTTTTTTTTATAAAAAAATAACCAATAACGGTCGACCAACAAATATAAACCAAATTATATAACAAAAAAGTTGAATTTGATTAAAATTATATAATTTTTTGTTTTATTTTATATCAAATTTATATAAACTGTATTTCTTCTAAAATTAAAAATTTTGTAATAATTTTGATATCTTGTATATAATATAATACATTGAATATCATTGATGTCTGTTGAGTAAATAAATTTTTTTTGTTGCGGATAATAACACAACCTTTTTTGTTTTTTGTTTTCTATTTGCACGATTTTTCGTAAGTTTTTAACACAAAATTCGCAAATGAAGATTTCAAATTTGTAGAATTATTCTTATTATTGTTTAATATTTATTTTACAATTTCCAAGTGTTAACATTCACAAACTAATAAATGTTTAGTGATACAATCAATTTGAATATCAATTTAATCAACAATTATTGAAATGATAATTGTTTTAAAAATTCGAAGTATTAATTTGTTGATCTCTGAATTGAGCGACTATAACTATAGCATTTTCAATTTATATTATTTAATTCAAATAATAATAAGGTGCCTTTTCAAAGACCATATTGCCAATAAAATTAAAAACACAGAAATGCTTTTCCAATCGACAACCAAGTTAAAATCCCTTCTCAACTACTCTTCTTATTCCTAATAATAAAAATTAATTTTTGTCTTCCTCTGCTCAATACCACATCATGCTTTTTGCCTAATTTTTAAAAAACAATAGGACGAACTAGCCACCACTAACCAATGAAATTATTTTCGAGAACCAAAAACTGAATCATTTAGAATCAGTCGGGATCTATTTGTTTAAATGAGGGTTTTCAAAATTGTCCAATTGTTGCCAACTCACCCGTCTCTAAAATGGATGCGTAATAATCCCGATTAGATGAAAAAAAGCAAAACAAGTTTGCACAACCAATAATTTGGTATCACAACTTCCACCCTAATTTTCTATACTCTTAACTTCGAATATATAACTTACTGAGTAGTTTAATTATTGTATTTTAAACCATATTGGTTTCCAAGAGGAGACAAACAATAATAATGGTTCTTAAAATAGAGATTAAAAGTCGACATTCCTGAACGAAGAAATTCAAACCAAAAGCATGCCGTCGCCATCAGTCATACTGGAGCAGTTTGGTACTCTTTTTGTCATTATTGCGTCGTCTTACATTCTTAAGATTATTTATTACCGAAACAACATCCGCGACCACAGTTCACTTGTTATGAAAGTGCTCTTTAATTTGGCCTTTCCTTGTGTAATTTTCAGGTCGCTTTCAAACACAAGAACACTCGACATCAACTCGCTTGCAATGTTCATTTCCGGTTTTGTTCTTCAAACAATCCTTTCCGTCGTCGCTTTCATTCTTTTCAAATTCGTCTTAAAATGTGAAGTACCTTGGCAGATTGAATTTGGAGGGTGTGTCGGTCTTAATATTGGGCTCTTCCTATTTCCCATTCTCGAAACTTTTGATCCAGAAAACGGGATATCGCATGCAATTCTGTTCAATGTGAGCAACGACGTTGCGTGCTATTTTATATTAAGGCCAATATTTGCACTGATGGAGGGCACTGCGGAAAAGGATGACATCGACATCGAATTGGCATCTTTAGGAACTGAAATGGAAAACACTCCAGACTCGGGTTCAATGTTCGAGGACAAAACTCCAGTAACACACCCAATCTCAACACCACTCGAACAAAACAGTTTGACTCTTGAGACCCCACGAGAGAGTGGGGAAATTACAAGAGACTCTATTGAAGTTAATAGAGCCAATCCCACGATCGATGTCAAATATGGAGATAAAAAGACTGAATTACAAAAAGCCCCAGTGAGCTGGAAATATATATTCATGACCATTGCAAAAAGTATTATCACATGTATCCCACTCTATGTAATGCCAATTGGATATACCATTGGTCTAAAAAATATAGAAGTACCACATTTCATGATGAAAGTTATTAATACAGTGGCCGGTGGTAACACTTTGCTGTCATACGCAGTGCTTGGATTTTTTTTCGAGTGGAAAAATAAGGCTCGAGTGTATTTCATTTCGTTGAGAGTGTTGGCAATCAGATATGTCACTGCACTTATTGTTGGGGTTTCCATATTCTTTATCACAAAAAATTACATTTCATTCATGACAAGATTCATTATTATTCTATGTTGTATATGCCCCGCACCATCACTTAGTGTCATTTACTCAATCGAATATCAGACGGCGAGACTCGACGTCACCGCAGCAATTGTTGGTATTTCCGTTGGTGTCTCATTTGTCAGTGTGTTGGCTTTGTCTCTCATTTTTCTTCCATATAACTAAGTTGATTCTGTTTCTTCATATGTTTTGTTTGTGTCGATTGACTAAAATAATCGACATTACATTCAATGATAATGTAATCAAATATTAATTTTTAATTGGAGTGTTATTGTTTTGTTCAATTATGTTTCTATAAAATGGGTTTGGTGAATAAGATCGTGTAACATATCAAAAAATGTTCAAAATTGATTGAAAATTAATACTAATAAACTCCAAGTTTGAAAATCTATCGAATTGCTTTGTTGTATTATTAATTATATAAAGTCTTTTATAAATAATAAATCAATACAGAATAAAAAAAATAATTGTTTGTTATAATAAAGAAGTTTTCTTTTTTTCATTCATCTTCTGTGATGAATAATATCACTTAATTTGCTTTTATTGTTTATTTAAATGAGGCTTTTTAAATATCAGTTTATTTGCATTTAAGTCTCTTTATTACCAAATTATAAATACAATTATTAATATAACAATATTATAATTATATTATTATATAATTGTTATTAACATAAATAAATGATGACGTTATATATCAGTTTCTTGATAATGCTTATTAATACAAACACTTATAACATCAAACAAACAAATTACATGATAATGGTTTAAAAAACAATATATAAATTATTTTTTAAGAATTTATTATTCTAATTCAGCAAACTTAAATTTAAGTTTCACATGTCATCCCGTGATAAAGTGATCAACGAAATATTCCAAACAGAAGTAACATATTCCAACAGTCTTTCCGAGCTTCGGACTTATTACTACGACGACATGAAGCAGCGGAGTGACAAAGTAATACCAATTAGCATCGTGAATGATATCTTTGAGGGTTTCGAAGATGCCCTTGCAGTCTCTCAGTACTTCATCTCTACACTCAGAAAATACAAGCAGTCAAACACACTTAATTCGAATATTCAAGACGTTTTTCTTGAGATGGCCCCACTCCTTGTTTTCATTCGAGACTTTGTGGGCAATAACCAGAGGGCAATAAGTATCGTCAACAAGTTGATTCAAGACCAGAAGGTCAGTAACTACTTGGAACAAATACGGCAGGGACTTCCAACTACACCCAAACAAGACTTATCTTCTCTCCTCATTATGCCAGTCCAAAGAACACCTCGATATGTTCTTTTGATACAAGAAGTGTTGAAACACACTTCCAAAGAAGAACATCCCGATTGGTACAGTGGCCTTGAAAAGGCAGTTGAAGCGATCAAAGGTGTTGCGTCATATGTCAATTGCTATATTCCAGAATATCAAAGAATATCACAATTGAATCGAATTGCAAAGTACCTACCGAAGAGTCTCCAAGAAAACTGGCTGAGCAAAAACAGGACTGTAGTTGTCTTAAACATGAGTTTGATGTATGGAGAAGTTGTCTCGATCACCAATGATATGGTGGTTGTGGGGAAACATGTTGAAGGATGTTTAGTTCCTTTCAAAGTTATTTTAATAGTTACAATCAAACACATTAATGAAGTGTCTGGTGTAGTTTCGATATGTACAAAAGATGACTGCGAGACTAAACTTGCTTTCCAGCAGTTTGCGCAAGCGAAAGAATTTTGTGAGACATTAGAAAATGTGCGAAAGAGTTCGACGATAGAATTGGTTCATCAATTACAACAGAAGATCTGTTGGTTTTGTCACACACATGAGGACGTCATAGAATGTGGTGATTGTCACAAACCAATGTGTTTCAAATGTCTCGAAGGGAAATGCAAGTTTTGTGAGTTGGGGATGATCAAAATAGAAAGTAACAAAAATTTTGCACATTTAGTTCGACCGCCCATTGTTTTGTTGAGTGACAAACAACTGAAGCGTTCTATGAATAGTAAACAAGAAATGGCTGACTACTACGAACAATTTGATTTTGAAGATAAAAAAGAGGTGGGAAATGCTTTCAAGAAAAGTGATTGGTACCTCTCTATGCTTCAAGGTAACATTCATCAATTTGCACAACCACAACAAAACGTTGCACAACCACTTGATACAGGTTTTTATTCACCATTTGCACGAAATGTAGAAGAAAATGTGGAAGAACAAAAGAAAGTACAAAGTCAAAATGTAATATCACCCAACCCCACTGTAGTGAACAACCCATTCTTTTCAGACTCCAAGTTTGCTATGCCAATCGAGCCACCTAAAACAAATGGTGGGTTTTTTAATCCTTTTGCACCAGATTACGTGCCACCTACTCAATAATTTTGATTAAGCAAACTACATATTTTTGTTGTTGGATGTTAAATAGAATTATTTGAAATGGCAATAAAACCAATTTATTTTTAAAAAGACTAAATATTAAACAACATTTATTTGAATAATATTTTCAACAAGATGTTGTATTGTTTTCAACTCAATTATATTATCACTTTGGTGTGAAAATATGATTGAATTAATAATGGTATCGGTCTTTTTATATTTGATACAGTTCATATACTTGTTATAAAAGTATATACATTCACTTTGATATTTTGTTTCAATATGAAAAATAAAACTCAATTTGCAAAATAAGTGTTTTATAGGAATACATTTTTTGAATAAAAAACAACTTAAACTATTTTTTGTTTAAATTAATAAAAACTTACAATTTTCCAAATAAAAAAACCTATTTATTTTAAACTTCTTTTATAAAAAAAAGAATTTAAAAGTTATGAAATTGTTTTTTAAAGTTAATAATAGAAAAAACAAAGATGACAAACAAATAATAAATAAATAACAATTAGAAATAGTTTAATGAGTTATCGTTCAAAAATGGAGAACTCGATAGAAAATACCCATCAGAATTCAAAAAAAACAAATGAATAAACAAGACAAAGAGAACATCAAATTGATTTTAGTTGGAGACAGTGGTGTTGGAAAGACCAGTATTGTGTCAAGATACGTAAACGATACATACAACGGGAAGGAGCAACCGACTATAGGTGTGGATTTTCTCTCAAGAGCCGTCGACATTGATGGCAAGACATTTCATTTTGCGATATGGGGTTGTTTCTTTATTACTCATACCAATAGACTTACAACATAGATACAGCTGGGGATGAAAAGTATGACAGTTTGACTCGACTGTATTATCGATTTGCAGCGGGCGTGTTTATAGTGTTTTCGATCAACGACACCACGTCATTCTCCAAAGTTGAAACCTGGATCGAAAGAGTTCTTTCTGTCGAGAAAAACGCACAACTAGTAATCATTGGAAACAAGTCTGATTTAAGAAAAGAAGACCCACCAACACAACAACTTGTACCTATTGATCAGATACTAAATATTGGTGTTAAATATGAGTGCCCTGTTATCGAGGTCTCAGCACTAACAGGAGAGAATGTCCCACAAATGTTTCAGATCATGTACGAAACCCTCGCTCCAAAAATTGATGCTGGAACATTCGAAAGTGAGCACAAAAGTGATAATGTCGAAATTTCACAACAACCAGCCCAACAGCAGAAAAGGTGTTGTTGATAAAACAAGTTCTATAATTATAGCAAATTTAACTATTATTCTCTGTTTTGTGTTACATCACATAATAACTCAAAAAGAACGTTGAGTGGGGTTGATTAGAACAAAAGGATAATTACAGCGAACAGAAATACGACGATTTGGATATCACGATTACCTATTTCACTACACTTCTTCCTCTCATTTTTGTTCTTCTTCACTGTGAAAGTTTTGATATATGACGAGTCAGAATTTGTGATATCAAATGTGTCACTATTCAATTTGTACCTCAGCACTACATCGTCCTTCATTGGATAAAAGTTACCATATGCTGCAGTTTCTGAGTTGCAATTTTCAGTCAAGAAAATGGTTTTGCAAACCACCGAAAGTCGAGCGATTGTCTGGGTATGTGGCAGTTGATATCTATTGTTCTCTCCACAAGACACTACCCCAACAGTGGGTTTCATTGTTCCTATAAAACTCTCGATGGATGAATGGTAGTCGCCGTGGTGATTCACTCGATACACGTCAACACTTCCAACAACGTCTTTAATAAGTTCTTCTTCATTTGATATTTCCATGCCATAAGAAAAGTCTCTCATCCCATCCAAATCACCGCCCGTGAAATACACAAAATCGCCGACTTGAATGCGAAGCGAAATGGAATAGTCATTTTCACTTGGGGCATTCTCAGTGTTTGCCCAATTTGAAGCTACGGGATTTCCATCTTGCTTGAGTGCAAACAACGCGTCTGCTATAACAATTTCAACTGCAACATTTTTGTCGGGAGGGGCGATTTGCGTTGTCGAACACATTTGCGCCAATTCTCTGACTGCCCCAAGGCTTCCTGGCGTCTTCAAATTGTGCGCATAACAAATCCAATTGACATTATATTCTTCATACTCCCCAACATATTTCCAGTCAATTGTCGAACTGTTACACTCCCCATCCCCATTGAAAACTCCAATATCTCTGCCAATATATTTACCAACGGTGTATCCTCCACTCTCGATTAAATGATGAATCCCACTGTTCCGCTCGACATACCCAAAATGGTCCAAATGAACGTGTGACAATATCAGAACATCTATCCTCTTCGAAGGCAACAACTCCTCTAATCGACTTTCAACGTACTTTGCATTTGTCGGTTCCGTGTCGTCTCGATTTTCCCCAAGGTCAATCAAAATTGTATATCCACTACCAAACTGAATTAACTGGGAGTCAGCTTGTCCCACCTTGAAAATGTGTACAGTAAAATCGTCTAAAGCCAGAACAATAGAAAATATCACAAAAAGTATTAAAGTCGCCATCTCTGGTTTTTTTAAATAACATTTCTTTGTTTTCTTTTTTAACTGCTTCTAAAAATGCAATTTTTGGAAAAATCAGATTGTATTATTTAAGTATTAGTTTTTTATTATTTATTATTACTACATTATTTTATTGTTAAATATAATTAATTAAAGATTTTAATTCATTTATAATAAAATGTTAAAAATAAAATTAAAAATGTAAAGCAAATATTTTTTTTTCAAAGAAAACAATTCCATAAATTTAAATTTTTATTTGGTTTCAATAAACTATTCATTATATTATTATATTATAATAACACAATTATCATTTTTACTAAAAAAAATTACTAAAAAGAACATATCCAATTTTAAACAAAGAACAATTTTGTTTTATTTTGTAAGTGTTTGTTCCACTTAAACATTGATAATAAAATGTCGAAATAGGTTTTTAACTGCGTGTTGTTTAATTAATTTTTGATGATCTGAATAAATTCCAACATATTTCAACAATAAAACAACTAAATGAACTTTTGTGTTCGTATAATAATTTTAATTACAATTACTATTTCTAATATATTGATTTTAAATGTCCAAAAAAAGTTAATAATATAATAAAAATATAGTATAAAATAATGAAATAGTAATAATATATTGATCTCTATATTGTGGAACTAAACTCAAAATATCATTTGTGACATGCAAACTCCCAAACGGGCATCATTTCTATCATCTTTTGTGACAAGAATTCAGCGAATAATACAAGGAAATTGGAAAGTCATGATATTTTTTGTTATTTTCACGACATGTCTTTCCTTGTTGTACTTTGTTGATTGGAAAGTCCATTACAAAGATAGTGTGACAACAAAAACGTATCTCTTCATGTTTACCTTTGATGTCATGCTCACACTTTTATTAGCCGAAATAGTTCATCCCGGGTTAATGCTTCTTTTCACATCAATTTTACTCGTTTTTTTGGGAATTATAACAGCACAAGAAGCCTTCATGGGGTTTGCAAACAACAGCACTTTGACTGTATTGGTGGCTCTTATTATTTCCGAGGCAGTCGACAAAACAGGTGGTCTCAAATTTGCAGGCAGATTTTTGCTTCCCGACACTCCACAAAAATACATCTGGCCCTCTGCTCTCAGGCTTTTCCCTTTTGTCATGTTGGTCTCACTCTTCTTGAACAACACGCCGGTCGTTGCTATGTCGATACCTCTCATATTTGCGTGGACAAAAACGTCGACACAACCAGCCTCAAAGTTATTACTCCCGATGTGTTACGCCATTCAGTTTGGAGGGATGAATTCCATATTAGGGACAAGCACTAACTTGGTTGCAAAGGGGCTGATTTTGAATCAAGTGGAAATTGTCAACCAAAAATTCAACTTGAACATGCAAGTGACTATCCCAATGTTTGAGATTGGTCTGGTTGCGTTACCACTCACTATTGTTGGACTCCTCTACACGTCGTTTTTCACATTTTTGGTGCCAAACACCGACATCCCTGAGCAAACAGCTGGTCAAAGTGAGTTTTTGATTCCTGTGAAAATAGCAGAGGGGAGTTCACACATTAATAAAAAGCTCAAAGACACAGTCTTGTTCTATCCGTCACATGGAAAACTCTTTAAGATCAAACGCGGGGAATTGATGGAGCCAAAACCCGATGAAATATTGAAAGAAGGGGATGTCTTGTATTATTTAGCACCGTACCAGCTCTTGAATGATGTCTATGTGTATTCTGGAATAGTCCCAGAGAGTCGATTTGCAAAGGAGATGATGTCATCAAATCGCGACTTAAAAGTGTATGAAGTCTGTTTTGGAGGTGCATCGCAGTTTATTCACAAAAAGTTTCCCAATTTTGTCAATACCCAGTTCTTTTCGATTCTTGGCATTTCGTATAAAAAGATCGACGAAAATGATCAAAACGAAGAAGAAAAAGTACTCATTGGAGACGACATGGGGTCATTGTGTAAAGAAGAGTTAGCTGAGAGTGTCATTGAAAGCACCCGAAGTTACTTAATATGCTCGACTGAGTCTTTTGAAAACTCGGAGAACTACCCAAATCCATTTCAGTTGGTCCTCCCGTTGGATGTTTCTCTCCCCCAACCAATGGTCATCTACAAAACTATATTAGCGCTTTTAGCCATTGCTATTCCAGTCATAACCGATGTCATAGATGCGTCTCCTTTTGTAGTTGCTGCTTTTGTTATGGTCTTCATTTTGTTAGTGACGAAGACTATTAGCATTAAGGATGTCTTTAAAGCTGTTGATGTCCCTTTAATCTGCATTTTGGGTGCTTCGTTTGGGCTTGTTGAGGGGATGGTGAAGACGAATGTTGGTGCTCTTCTTGCGCGGTCGTTAACTCGAGCGTTTTTGCCGTTTGGGAAGATTGGGATATTAAGTGCACTTGCCATACCCGCTCTGCTGTTAACACAGTCACTGAGTAATGCCGCTGTGTTTGCGTTGATGTTTCCTGTGGTTTGGGAGACATATTGGGGAGCCGATCCCACCGGTATGGATCGAGGACAAGTCATTGGGTTGAAAAGTTCGATGTACGCCGTGATGATAGCGACGTCTTCCGTCTTCTTGTTACCATTTGGTTCGAACAAAACACTTATGGTGATGAAGAAAGGGAATTATCGAGTGAAGGACTTCATCATCTTTGGGATCCCCCTTGTGTTCTTTTCGCTTGTTGCTGCTGTTGGACTCTCTTATGTATTCTTTGAGGTGATCTGGCCAGACAACTATTAATTAGCTGTTATGTACTTTTTCTTCCTTTCAAAGAACACAAAAGACAACAAATACTAAATTATAATAACAAAGAAACACACAACATTTAATATTGATATTTAATTGACAATTTGGCGATCAGTTGGTCTACTATAAGGTTAGGCTTCGAGAATATGACACGCTGCGAGTGTGTAATAAGAAGTAACACATTTGCAATTGTCCTCAACGCATCCATCCGATATAACCCATGCTCACTTTCTGAAGAGGAAAACAACGTTTGGGCGTGTATGATATCTCCCATCCACAACGGCAAAATTGGTATTTTTGGTGTTGGAGCAATGGAGTACAAATTTCGGTATATAACGTAGTTCTTCGAGAAATCAAAGACTCTTTTGAGCTCTTCAAACGCTTTGACGGACTTATGCGGCAACTTTTTAAACACATATTCAAGCGAAAAGTGCGTCACCGCGGTGTATATGACATAACTCATGTTGAACGAGTTCAGCTTCAAGCACTCCAAACCAACTTTAATGAAGTACCTCATCTTCGCTACTTCTCCCCCCTCCGCAGTTTTGATGGAGTACGAAACCCACCTGCCAAACTATATGTCAACACCCAAATATTTATAGTTAATCATAATACGAATGAACTTATGAAGAAACAAACGTTATCGATGATATCGCAATAATAGTCCAAGGTGGGTTTATCCTTATTTCTAATACACTCCGCTGTATCTAAGTCACCTAAAAGCATCGCATCGAGTAATGTTATTTGTTCGGCAAACACCCCAGAAAACACATCAGTCACATCACCAACCTTTTTCTTTGATTTCAAGATGTTGGGGTTCGTCACGGCCGTCGACGTTAAGAGCTGTTTCCCATATAAATTCATCTCCTTTTTTAGAGGAAGTACAAGCGACTCCATGATGTTAGAAATCGTCTCATCGAACTGTATTCCTGGATTAAACTTGATCAAATGTGTGATCAATGCGGACAAACACTGCATCGCCCTTTTGGACAAATTCTCGATTTCTATGACCTCTTTAAGTTCTTGAACTATTTGTTTCTGGTCGAGCGCAACAGACAAGTAAATTGCAAGTCGACTTGGGAAGTCTGGTTCTGGTTGTTGTGGGAAAAAGAGCATAGTGATGAGTGCTCTTGGGCTTGCTGCGAAGAGTGACGCCTTGATTGAGAATTGGTCGTACTGATAAATAGGGTCGAACTCGCAGTTAATAAATACGTCATTGAAACGTCTGCAAAGGACGTCTAAAAGTGAGAGAGCAAAAGGCAAAGAATCCTTCTCTGGTGGGAGGAGAAAAGAAGCGATTTGTGTGTAGTAACTTGAGTCGTTAGAGAAGTCCTTAATCACAGAGACGATAGTTTTGAGTAAAAGGAGTTGTGTTTGTGTGAGTCTGTTAATAAATATTCTACAAAGGGTGACGTCCCAGTCGAGTGTGGAGACTCCAATTCTCTGTGCAATTTCCAAGTCATATGAAAAGTAAATGGAATTGTCTTTTAATTGATCGATCAGAATTTGAATTTTTTCGGGTTCAACGATACACGCTTCCGCTAACTTCTGAAGAGCTTCTGGCACTTGCTCCGATGAGAAGGAGAAGTTTGACTGTTGGGGTTGTTGCGAGTCTCTTTTATTAAAAGTTCGAGTCGATCTAAAAGATCGGACTGATGGGGTTGACGGTGTTGAGGTGGACGAGCTGTCTGGGGAGACAGCCATTTGCGACGAGCGTTTTAAGGTTCTGAAACTGCGTGTAGAGATAATCGACATTTTTTGTAGTGGTATTATTTTGTTTCTCTTTTTTTCTTTTTTTTTCTTTGTTGAATTGTATTTTTAGATTATACGAGAAAGAGAAAAATCGAAATTCTTTGATTTATATCGATACAATCAGTTGTATAATTTAAAGTGTTTCTGCGCAAACAACGTCATTTTTTTTTGTTATGTTATATCACATTTTAATGATGCAAAGAGTTGGGAATCAATACTTTTATAATAGATATAATTATATATAGCCAAATCAGATAATTTGGATAATCTATTTTTAGGAATGTGGGTTGAAGCCAAATAATTTTAACACTCAGGGGACACAGCAATTATTATTTATTAATTTACCCAAATGTTTCAATAATCTTTTAATAAATAAATGAAAAACTAAATTGAAAGTATAACAAATTTCCTGATTATTCATTTTAAAACCGTGGCAATAAAAACAAGTAATATGCTCCAAAACATATAAAAAACTCACTTTTGGGAATTCTTTTCTAATCATTTAAGTTGGTTTTTTACACCAAAAACAGGTTAACAAGTTGTTATAATGGGAATTATTGAAATAAAAATACAATAATATATAATAAATTTATAATTTCAAAACCAAATATTTATCGTTTGCTATAACAAAAAGGCATTTTAGCTTTAAAATATGTTAAATTTTATATTTTTAGCAAATGCAAGTTTTGAAATACAATTTATAAGTGATTTGAGTTATGATATTTAGTTTGAAATAACAACAAATATAGACAAACTTAAAATAATAAATTACGAGATTAATAAAAAATGGACAATAATTCGGGAAATATTTGTTTGCTTTTCTTTTGATGCACACAAATTCGCTTAGAATGATACATATTAATTAATCATTAATAAAAAAACTATATTACATTAATTGTTACATAGTTATTTTACAAGTTACAAACAAATGCTCGATAAAAAACAAAAAAACTTCTTTTAATTTCTAATAAATTGTTTTATTGGCACGTTTGTTTTAGTGTTGTCGTTGTGTTTTGTTTTTACTGTTATTCATAAAATGCGTCGAAATCAATACAAATAATGCAACTATTAAATTTTCAAAATACCAGCCATGGCATCTAACTTGTCGCGTATCGATTTGTCTACATCGAAAAAAGACATACAAACACAATACAGTAAAACCTCCCAAGAGCGGCACCTCTGAAGAGCGGTTTCTCTCAAGAGCGGGCATTTTTTAGACCGAAACTAAAAATAGAGTTCTCTGTCGAGCGGTAATTAAGGTTTGATTGGCTAAAAATGCCCGCTCTTGAGAGAACAAAATTACCACACCCTCCCGCTCTTGGGAGGTTTTACTGTATATTTTCAATTGAATTTCCATCGCCTGTATTTAAATATAGTTACTATTGTATTAAAAGTAATAAAAATTATTAATCAAACAATACTCAACTAACTATATTTTTCTAAAAAAGAGTGTTGTTGTCTTTGATCCTTGTGATCCTCCAAATGAATATGATCCTTCCTTGATTTGGTCGATAACATCCAAGCCATTTCCAAGCCAGTCAACAAGCTCGTCTTCGGTCCAATTACAACTTGTGATGACAAATATCCCGCCTTCCGCCAATACTTGGCTAATGTACCTTTTATACTTCCCTGCATTCTCGGTCTTTTCTGGGGCTACCATGATTGCATCAAATGTTCCTTTGTCGATAATGACGTCCGCCTCTTTAATTTCAGACTAATAGTAAGTAACCCTAATTATGTTTTTAAATCATTAGAATCAATAAACATGTATACAAACAGTATCAATGCAATACTCGTCCAACAAGTCTAACTTTTCGACAATGACATCGTCCATATCAACGTTATTTTCAGTCAAAACTTTCTTTGTTAACTCAACAGAACCCTCGCAATAATCAACACCATACAATCGCGTGTACCCCGCTTGGAAAAGTAACAATAAAGTATATCCACACCCACAACCAACATCTAAAACCCTTAAATTTGTCGACGCGTAATTCTGAAGAGTGTCAACAACCTGTTCCGCAATTTGTTCACCAAACCAAACTTCTCCCACGTCACTCGGGTTGTCTGAAAAATTCTTCAACTCGGTTTTGTAGCACTCCTCCCAAAACGCCTTTTTGCATAACCTCTCATTTGGTTTGTAACTCATTATTATTGGAGTTGACCTTGTTTCAAAATCATTAGTAATAAACTATCATGATTGGTTTATTATAATATAAAAAAATGATATGAACAAATTCTATTATAATAGTTTATTTCTTTAAACTGTTTTATTATAGATCAATGTAAATTTACAATGCAGTATTTCGAGAAAGCAATTAGCTATCCCGAATATTTAAAATGTTAATGTTTAAAAAGAGCCATTATTATAATATGAAATTGGGGTTTTGGCATATTTGTCATTTTGCTTTATTTTTATATGATATTTCAAGTTCAAATACTTGTCGTGAAATATTTAAATAACTTAAAAAATAAATAATTATTTATTTAAAAAAAACGACCATTAATTTATTTTTTATAATATAAAACAAACTGTTTAAAAGTTGTTTATTTTTGACAATAACATTCAAATTATCTAAAAAACGGGATAATAAAATTAATGTTTACAGTTTTTCGTTCAAATCATAGGAAGTTAAATATGAAAAAAATTCCATAGACACTACACTTATTACCCGACTTTTTAAAACGGTTTTGCTCATTTTTTACGAACCTAAAAAATTGTCCAAGTTGTTTTAGTAAATAAAAATATCAAAAACAAGATCAGCTATTATTAATAATATATTTATTATATAAATGTTAATTTCATTTATAAAAAGTATAGTTAATCAAAACAGTATTATCTATTTCGAGTATTTTTTCTTTTTTTTATTTGTAAAGTTCCTATAAATAACGAACATATCCATTTTTTATATAAAAATAGACCTAAAAAATAAAAATTAACCAAAACTGTAATGCTCAACATTAGACCAGTAAGTTTCGATTGAGTGATTAATATTTAACTAATTTTTCGGGCTATTTTCACGTTGTTTCCGTTTAGGGTAAACGAAAAAATAACAGTTCGGCATTATCGCATATATCTTCTGTTGATTGATTTATTGGTATATTTTGCAAATACCCCTACATTATCGTCTTTTTGGTAATTATTGGGAAAAAAAGGCTCGATAATACCAAAAAACGTGTAATTTTATGAAATCATATGCTGTCATAAAGAAACTGGTCACACTAATTAAAAATTAAATTATTGATTTTTATTATTTTCTTTTTTAAACCGAACTCTGATGATTATAACCACCAATTGTTCTCTTGAAAAGTATGCAGCCTTATTTTTCAATCTTAGATGGCCAAAAGTAAAAGCTCATTTTTCATAAAGGGATTTTGTTATAACTTCAAAACTTTTTCACTTATACTAAACTCATACCCTGGACTGTATAAAGTCGGCAAAACTAATGACTGCCATTCAATGGGACAGTCAACGAGCAGCGTTTCTCTGAAAAGAAGGAGCACCAGCCGAGAACTTGTCTTTGCCAAATTGAACAATGAAATTGAAAGACAAAATCTGGCTCAATCAGCTGATATAACACCACTCTCATCTCCAAGTTTCAGCCCAAATTGTACATCTTCAAAGATTTCGTTTAAAAACAAGAGGTGGTCCTCCACAATTAAAATGGACAAAAAGCAAATCCAGAATGCAAAACTGCATGTCTTGCGTGCAAGGACTGAACCCTCAAAAGAAGTCCAACAAGTCTTGTCTCCACAAGAAATAGAGCACACACCACAACTCACGTTTTTGGAGAAGAGAGATTACCTCAGGGATATTACTGGCAACAATTCTGAGGAAATTATATTTGACAGCAACACTGCTGGTTTTGATGGAAGAGACTTTGCATCACTTGTCTGTGGGAAGTCGAAAATCTGTGTCATGGTTTTCCACAAAAATGGGGTTTTTGGATATTACCAAGAAGACGCACTTTCATTACAAAAGGCAGACAAGGCCACAAAGTCGACTTCTGGCAAAGTCTTTCTGTTTGGCCTCAGAGAAAATCAGACAGTAGTTATCAAAAGAAGGGCCGGTGAAAGAACTGGTATGAGCATTCCCTCTTCCTCCGAAAAAGATATGCTTTTCATTGTCACTTCTGCTTTTTGGATGAAAACTGATGGTAAAGTGACTTTCAACAATTATATGAGAAACGCCTTTAATTTTTCATGCCAAGAGAACCCTTTAACTGGAAGAAGTTTTTTCGAGAACATAATATGCGAACGACTACTTGTACTTGGCTATCGTGAAGAATGACATTCTGTATACATTTCAATCCATTATTTTGTTTTTTTAAATTTAGTGTGTATGTATCACCCATTCATTAAATATTATAATAATCATTATAAAATATGTTCATAAAAAGAGGCAATAGAGTGTCAAAGTATCACTGAATAATGAGATCCCTTATTCTATTAACGTCAAACGACCAAGTTTCACTCTATTTTTTGATTACAACTAACACAAAAAGTAAACAAATTATGAGAAAGCAGCTTTGTCGATCGACGACGAACCATCAAATTTCTTGTTTGCGTTCTTGAAAGAAGACCCCTCACAACTCACGTTTTGTGGCAGAGCAAATTTGGACAAGGAGACGCACCCTGAAAATGCATTTTTCTTGATAGCTGTAAGTCCATTTGGGGATACGACGGTTTCGAGTTTAGTGCACAATTTACAGAATCCCTCCGGTATTTCAGTCAATTCGCATTTCTCCAAATCCAACGTCACTAAATTGGAACAAAACGAGAAGCAATTTACTCCAAGTTCTTTGACTGCATTTAAAACAACTTCTGTCATTGATTCGCATTTGTTAAAACACGACTTCCCGATGTACTCCAGCTTCGTTGGGAATATGATCGAATTAAGTTCGGAGCACTGACTAAATACAAAGTCTCCTATTCGACTCACTGATGCGGGCAGAATAACATTTTGCAGTTTTGAGCACTGACAAAACATGTTATTTGGAATGACCAGCACCGAGTCTGAAAGTCTCACATTCGTCAATTCGCTGCACCCAATGAAAACACCTTCACCAATGATGCTTGAAGCAGTCAACGAAATGTCCTTGAGTGATTTGCAATATGAGAATGCGCAATCTCTTACTGCCTGCACATTAGCGCATTCCACTTTCGACAGTTGTTCACAAAAAGAAAAACAGTTCACGGGTATTTCTTTCACAAGTACGGTGATCTGACTCAGTCCACATGACAAAAAACAGTTACTCCCCAAATGTAAGACAGAGGAGGGCAGAACTATAGACGTTAACTTATCGCAATATGAAAAAGCGAATTCATCAATCTCTTTCAGTCGATTTGAAAATTCAATTTTAGCGAGTTTACTCCCTTTAAAAGCAGTCTTCTCGACCTTTTCACAGTTTTCTAAGTTGATACAAGTGATGTCACTGTTCTCAAACGCAGAGCTACACACTTCGTTGATCTGGACACTCTGCTCGACACACTTTTCTTTCATTATAGAGACGTCTGCCTTCTCGACTTTAACACGCCAGCCCTTCTCTTGTGCTTTTTCGTTCAACACAAATATAGTGAGTGGGATAGTTGTGGTGATCTCGTCGAACACTATCTTTTCGAGTTTACTACAGTTCAGAAACAAATTTCTCCCCATGCATGAGATGTTGTTCCCAAACTCGACTGTCTTCAGATTGGGACAGTCAGCAAAGCACTCACTCCCTATCATCACAATATGTTCCGGAAGAGAAATCGTCTCGAGTTTGTAACATCTTTTGAACGCACGCGTCTCGAGCGCAGTCACATTCCCTGGCAATGATATCGACTTCAACGTGCACCAGTCGAAAGTGCCTCGGGCAATAGTCTGGACTTCCCCTGATATGTTATTACCAAACTCCATTCGGTCCTCTAACGTGAACATCACGTTCAAACATTTGCATCCACAGCGATTAAACACCTTTTGTGTTTGACAATCGACTCGAGCGACAAAGGGGGTGTTCGGTGGAATCGTAACAATCTGTGTTAAGCTATCACAGTGATCGAAAACATCAGTCGATATTTTTTTCAGACGAGCAGAAAGGGTTAGTGACACAAGACTGTATGGAAGACACCCCGCCTCAAGTATCACAATATCAGTCGACAACGCAAGGGATGTCAGTTTATTGCAGTCAGCAAAACACGACCCGCCTAAGACAGTGGTGAATGGAGTTACATTCCCCACGTCATCTATATCATCCTCGTCAGCAACAACACGTCTAAAGGTAATTGATTTGTATTTAGCAAGCATATCTTTTCTTCTTTTATGCGAAACTGGATACTCAATCACTAAAGGAAATATGTCGGTGGGTTTCGTTGAAGAGGAGTTGATGTGTGATGTGAACGTGATTTTGGTGTGTTTTTGTGTCCTCTCGAAAAACCGGATGACTGAGTCAAAGATATTATAGTCCATTTTAACAGTGGACGCATAACATCTCTTCGAAACTTGGACAAATTTGAATATATCTTGGTATGCCGAAATATACTGCGCGATGGTGGTGAAGAACGTTTCCATCAAATTACAAAACAAAACTGTTTAAAGATTCGATGTCATCCAATGGTTCATTATATAGTTCTTTTCTAATTATATTTACTATACAAAAAAGATATTTCAATAAACAAAAATTCATATCTATTTTTTTACTACTTTTTATAATTTATTTTATCATTATTCATAAAAATTGTTTTTTGAAATAACAGTTTGGAGAAACTATAATTATTATATAAACTTGTTATAATTTTATGATAAATCTTTGTAACAAATACTTAAACTATAATTTAACCATTTAAATGACTCATTCCTTTGATTTCTCTTCGCCTTTGTCTTCCTTTTTTTCACTCTCTGTATTTTCTTTCTTCTTGTTTTTACCTTTTGGGACAACGACTTGATAATGCTCATATTCTTGTTTTCTCATTTGTTCCACGGTGTCATAAACCCAGTTCTCTGACACAACTGGAGTTCCTTCTTGCTTTTTAAAATTCATTTGCGACGAACCTCCAACCACAATCAGATCAGCGTCTTTAGGCCGAACCACAGAATACCCTCCCAACATTCCAACCCACCTCTCGATTGTATGGTTCTGTATCTTTGTCTTGCCGCCTACGTATATTTTCATACCGGTTAACAACTCGTTTCTGATGGTTGCTGGGGCTGTCATTCCTACAAAAGATTTGTCCAATAAAAATCCGGTAAATTGCTCGACTTTCCCGTTCTGTTCACAGGCCTCCAAGTATTTTTCGCTCACGATTGGAATTCCTCGAACAAGCGATTCTAACACCTTTTCGGTCCGCTTCGCATTTTTCACAACACAACAGTCCACCTCCAGGATGTCTTGTTTGATCAACACAAAATCAGTGTTAACGGGTTTGTCATCGTCATCATTGAACCCAGAGACGAGTACCTTCACTTTTATAACCGACGACTTTTTGTGTTTGAGTGGTTCTTTCTGTTGTTCCTCATCTTCTTCAATTTGCTTTGTCTCCTCTTCTTCCATATGTTCGTCTTGTTTTTCACTTTCATTTGGATCAACAGCAACATGTGGGATTTCAGTGATTGCCTCCTCTTTACTCTTTTCTTGCTTTTTGTCATCCTCTTTTTTCACGCGTTTTTTACTCTTCTCGGCTTCTTGTGTTTTGTTTTTCTTTTTTTCTTTTTGTTTACTCTTTTTTCCTTTCAGCGGTTGTTCTTCGTCTTGCTCACTCTTTTCACTGTCACTAGTCTTTTCTTTGGTTTCTTTCTTTGATTGTTTTTTCTCTTTAGTTTTGATTTTCTCGGTTTTGGTCTTAGGCTTTTTATCGTCAACTTTTTCTTTCTCCTCTTTCTTCTTCTCAGTCTTCTTAGGTTTTTCCTTTGTTTTTTCGTCCTTTTTTGAAGTCTCTGATTTCTCGGACTTTGTGAGCTTTTTTTCTTTCGTCAATTGAGTTTTGTCCTTTAATTTGGGTTTTGCCCTTTTTTCTTCAGGTTCATTCAAATCTTCTTTTGGTTTGGGCTTTTTGCTGTCAGACTTCTTCTTAAAAACTTCAACTGTATGTTCCTCTTTTGTTTTGGGTGTTTCTTTCTTTTTTGGTTTCGCCTTTGAAACTTTACTCTTCTTTTCCTTCTTGTCTTTTTTATCAACCGGCTGTTCTTTTTCCTCTTCCTTTTTCAGTTCTATCGACTGCTTACGAGCAGTTTCTGTACTAGTGATGTCTGTAAATGACTTTTCCGTGTTCAAAGACTTCGCTGTTTGTTCTCCGAAGTTGCTGAGACTACCCAACAAGGAATCCAATTCCATTTTAAATTATACAGTTTTTTTAGTGACATTTGAACAATGAAATCCTCAATTATATATCCAAACTCTATTTTAAATTATTAATTCTTTTTAATAAACTTATTATTAAACAAATCTATTAAAAAATACAAAGAAGTGTTATTTACAAATTGGCGAGAAGTGTCTGTGCGGTATGGTTTGAAGAGAGTGAAAAGTTTCTTCTCTTGGCGATGTACATTCTGTCTATAGCGACTGCAAAGTTTTTCAGCTTCAAATAGTTTAGTTTAGTATTAACAATAGTTTTGAGTTCGTTAAGAACAACAAAGTCTTTTAAAAAAATGGCAACAATTGGGAGGTGTGATGTCTCTTCGACCAGTTTAAGTGCGTTTCTATAGTTTGCCATGTTTTTGTGTATTGAAAAGAGTTCATAGATCTTCTCATACTTCGCCTTTTTGTTCTTTGATATTTTTTCAAATTCAGTCTGGACACTCAATGACTGCTTTACAATAGACGTGAAGAGTAAATACGCCATATTGAAGTCTCGTATTTCCAAACACTTGTCACACACATTAATGAAGTACGCAAAATCTTCTTTAGTCATCATCTTCGAGACAAAGAACTCTTCTAGCTTATTAAGTCTGTCCAAATATCTTTTAAACGTTGGGGACTCGCACCCCTCAAGGAAGTCTTTGTAACCAACTTTCTTGAACAATTCATAGTCGTAGACAACAAGTTGTTCGGCAAGTGTCTTATAATTGTAGTCTACCAATTTGGAGTACTCCTCGCATTGACTTAATATTTTAATTGTACCTTTTTGGTCCAGTCTTGAGACCACCATGTTCTGTTTGTCTTCAACTTTCTTCTTTATGACGCAAAGAACTGACTTCCCCAAACTTGAAGACTCTGCACCACCAAGTAAGACTTCAATTTCTTTGACAAACTCAGTGGAGTATATGTCACTCTCAAGCGTTTTTAATTGGTTTTTCAAAGTGAGAGGAAGCTCTCCCGAATGTGTTGATACAAAAGGGATGATCACTTTTTCTGCTCTTGAAACAACAAGTCTTGTAAAGTTAAGTGGAACCTCCATACTCTTCTTCAAGTTTTCGATCAAGTTGTGGTTCTTCAAAATACTTTGAATGGCCTCTTCTAGTGTGCAAAAGAGTGGTTGTGTGTATACAAAGGTCTTAATCAAAGACTCTGAGGCATAAGGGTCAAATAACATGTTATAAAACTCGTCTTTAGACACAGCAACAGTACCGTCATATATCGAATAGACTGGATCGCCTTCAATTGCAAAAACATCTTTACACTTAGTCATAATGTAATTGGCAAATTCCTCACACTTTGGGAGAAGGGTGTGGGTTCTGTCAAACACTAAAAACATGAGTCGTTTTGCTGGTTCTTTGAACTCGATCATTTTCTTCACAATTGCCTCCAAAACAAGTCTTTTTTCGTCGTCCATTCTCCATACAACCCGTCTAAAGTTGTTAGTAAAAACTTCGTTTTCGTCTTCAATTAGAATGTATTTCATTTCTTCAAAGAGGGAAAGGATTTCTCCAAATTCAAATTTCTCTGTTGTTAGTTGAACCAACTTACCAAGAATCACAGTGGACACAGACTCATCGGCGAACTTTTGGTGGATGGAGTCTCGGGAACGTTCAAAGAGATCAGAGAGCTTTCCTATAGAACGAGAAACAGACGTTCTGAAACTCTTTGGTGTCATTTCACCATTCTTTTTTGAATCAGCTGGGTCGAGTGGCATGTGGATTGTCAGCATGAATATGCAGTGTTAGGGCTTCTTCTAACAGCAGATCCTTTTCCAATATAATGAGGTTTCATGAGTCGCTATTTTTGAACTTCTTAGAAACACAATTTGATCAACCCCATTTTTACGAGTTGGCAGATTAACTGTTTTGTATACACGAGGATACTTATTTTTGGATAGTAACCCATTGAGATGTCATCAATTTAAATAGTCGGGGTTTATACGCAATTATACATAACGGGATATTGTGGTGGATAAGTATTAAGTGCGCCCATAATGTTTATTCTATTTGCCAAAATGTTGTGCCAAAAACAACAATGACCAAATAGTCCCATTTTGAAGGATTTTAACAGAGGAATATAGTTATCATTTATGCTTTTAATAATCACACGCATTAATTAACAGGTGGTCAACATAAGAACCTTTTACCAATAACAAAAATACACAAAATTTCATAGAATTTACTTCTTTAAAAAGCCGGTTTTTCGGGGTTTTTCAGTAAAGACTCTTTTTTGTTCAATCAATGTTTTTCGAGTAGATTTGACCGTTTTATTTGATTAGGAAAAGCAAGAAAAAAACAATAACTGCTTTTTGGCAAAGATAGAAATTAAACATATTATTTTCGTCTTAATATTTTTGTTTTAATTGATGAAAAACATATAATATATTGCTCAAAACCCGGTAAAAGGGGAAAACGCCCTAAAAAACTCCCAAACAAATTATTAAATGGTTCGTATTATATTTATAAAAGAGTGTTATTGGGTGTTTTTATTTTCGCCTTTCAAAAAAAAACAAATGGACACGGGGGTTTACAGCACAAGAACGGGGTTAAAAGGATCATTGACATGAAAAATAGTTTAAATCAAAAAAGTTTCCGAAGCAACATATATTCAATTTTTTTCTGAATGCAACCACGTCATTTAAAAATAACCCATTTAATTTACATCTGGTGCTAAATGGGTGTTAAATAATCTCTTTTTCCAAAAGTGTTTTTATTATTATTATCCTTTTTTCAAAAACTATTTTTTATTAATATTTTATTATAATATATTGGTTTTGATAATCACGTCATTTTTATTTTTGTTTAAATTCTATGGTTGACGATAGTTAATGTTACGAATATAACTTTACTGGTCTATTTATTATATTATTTTTATTGGTAAAAGTAACCATAAAATGTAATAAAAAAACACACAAAAAAATGAGTCTAACACAAAACGCGTTTTTGTCGAATACATTTATGGCCGACGAACTTTCAAGTTCCTTTTAAATGACAATATTTGACAATACAACTGTACTATACTTGAACATTACGTTTAAATATTATATTGATACATTTT